TGAGTCTAGTATGCTGCTACCTGATAGATTATAATGGAAAAAGGGAAACTTTTTTTAATCAAAAGTTTTAATCGACCATGGTTTTTTATATGTTTTTTTTATCTATCGCACCACATGGCTATTAATAGATATATTGAACTATTGAATTATCATCCAGCCCTAAGCTTAACATATTTCTACTAATTAAATGAGTTTACTAAAGGAAATAGGGCTGCAACAACGAATCGATAAATTCGATGAAAATCGATTACTAAAAGCGTTGGCAACGAATTGCGTCATCGATTCGTTGTGTTGTGCAACTCTTCCAAAAGAGCCCCCCCCCCCCCCCCCCCCCCCCCCCCCCCCCCCCCCCCCCCGCCCCCCCCCCCCCCCCCCCCCCCCCCCCGGCCGCCGTTGCGCACAGACCGGAAGCAAGTCCAGATCAGCGCAAGGGAGAGCCGGTGTTCGGAAGAGGAACATGGCAGAAGCAGCGAGACCCAAAAAAGTAAAAACTTCTAAAGTTTGGGAGCATTTTCAGTTAAATCAGGCAAAGACATTCGTTACCTGCGTTTGTAGGTCAGACTTAGCATGGCACGGGGAGTACTACGGTGATGATGATGCAGCATCCTAAACGCAAGCATGTCAGAATCATCAGCGAGGAGGGAGAGAGCTCTGTGTCCGGGTAAGTTAAAAACTTTTCAAAAGTGATTCACCCCAAGCCCCGGATTATTACACAGGCCTAGACATGCCCTAAGCTCGTAAAAAAAAGTCCTATTAAATCGTAAGCGCGACGCTATCAGATAAAACCGGGGGGGGGGGGGGGGGGGGGGGGGGGGGCTCACGCTGCTGCGAACTGGTTCCGCCGTCACATTCCCGCAGAAACTGGTTGATTACACCGGGGCCAGACTACTAGCATGTGGTTTTACAACCACGTTGTCCTCAGAAGCGAAAACGCTTTTAAAAGGGAGGGAGGAGTCCTAACTGTTGTGTTGTGTGAGAGTGCAGTTATTTACTGGTTAATATATTTTTGGGTTCAGTTGCTTTCATGTGGCCTAATGTGAGTCTATTTGGGATCATTGGAATGATCAGCAGCATTTCTTGATGTGACTTTATGGCAGTTGCCCAGGGAATCATCGCAAGGAGGATGGCATTTGTTTACTTTTGTTTTATTTGGTATTTTTTCAGTCATTTTTGGAAATAGTGATTAGTTTTTGATTAATTCACAGCCTATGTTTAATTACATTTAAAAATTAGTTGTTTGACATCCCCAATTATAATAAATGTCTACAGATGAGATCAAACAAAACAGAAGAGAATTCCCCTTAAAGAGCAAGTCACCCCCAAATAAACTTTTTTTTTTGCTGATAAACTAAATAAATGAGTGTCTAATCGTGCTGCAGACACGTGTTATCAATAATTTGGCACTTCAGTGCATCTTAGTTCAAATTTAAATATTCTGCCTAAAACTGGCAGTGTTGTGTCGTTGTCAGGTAAAAACTCTGCACTGTATTTTAATTTAAATCTGCCCCTGGCTATTGGCTAAGAAGTATGCTATGATGTAAACTGGTACATTATGATGTCACAATGCTGTTGTGAGCCTGAGTGTGTGTGTATTTGTTAGCGGCTTCGCCCTCTCGGTCTGCCAGGCAACAGCATGTGTTGCATTTTTCAAACATGAAGTGGGAGTGGAGTTAGACTCTGGTAGGGGTTGACTTGCTCTTTAAGCTGTTTAACTTGGACCAAGCATTTTAGGTCACAGATAGGTGTAGCTTAGGGTCTCTGTCTATACACCTTATAAGACAATTTAGGTGATGGCATGTTGTTTTTCTGCTATTGAACTGTTTTCTAATAATGTTGTGTTTAATAAAGTGAAGGAAGGAGAGAAATAACGTTTCCCTAGCAGTTTTTAACAATGTCCCCATGTAATCCGATTAATCGTGTCGAGACCCCATCCGATTAATCGATTATCCAAATAATCGTTTGTTGCAGCCCTAAAAGGCAACAGGGACGAGTCAGTGAAACAGTCAGCTGGGGTTGTGAATTCTGACTCATCAGTAAAGTGACTCTTGAGTAATGAAGATTCGTTCATGACATCACTATTACATGCACAATTTAAAGCACCTAAGTTTTTATGAAGTAAAATTTTTTTTTACAACATTTTGGTTTATATTTGTCAACATTCGTGATTTTTTTTTAAATATTTGCTTCTATTGAATTACTGGCTTTTCTCAGTCTACAATAAAAGACACTTTTGGATTAAGGTCTAATGAAAAACGTGAAAATGGAAATAATTATTTAAGGAAAGAAAATATAACACTTTATGGAGCTCACAGTCACAGAACAATGAAACTAATATTACCTGGCTGACCGCAGTAGTTGCAGGCATAAACCGTGAGTGCTGGTAGGGCTGAGCTTGACTGGGAGGACGAAAATAAAATTGGAATTAACAGGTTTGCATTTTACAAGATATGTAATAAGGAGGGAGCCAGTCTGGAACTTACCAGAGTGCTGTTCCAGGTCTCTAATGGTGAACCTGCGAAACCAAGTTAAAATGTTACCTTATCTGTTTAGCCAACAAACAGCAGCTAAACAAGGTGATTTACCGTTTCCAAAGTCGCCACCACTGGAGAGGCCTGCGAGGGTAGCGGGCATGGCGGAAGGCACAGGTGGAGGTGGTGAGGAGTCGTTGACATTCGGACTCGACAACGGTTTCCTGAGCGGCATGTTGGGTCTAACGAAAGTTGGTCGAAATGACCGGTTCATGTCCAATATAACTCTCATTGCGACATTACACAGCTGAAAACATGGCGGCCGCTAAAGACGAATCCAGAACTGTCGTCTAAGTAAGTCTAGCTAAATTGTTAGATAGTATCAATTTAACATTAAAACAACATTATCTACAAGAACATAAAAAACTAGCAATAAGCGTTACTGTCACGAACCGTTTTAGGAAACACGTAATTGCCGAATTTTAACAAAATATGTAAAATGTTCAGTCATTTTCTTACCTGAGTGCACGTGGCGATTGTCGACAAGGAGCTACTGAGCATGCGCATTGACGCTAATAAGTGAAGTTTAAACTGTTTGTATTTAGTGCCTCATGATTTTAATCTTGAGACATCGTTTTCATTCTTTCTTATAACAAATCTAATAGCATTAGCTATTAAAATGTTTTGTTTTCATGATTGCTAGTTAAATACTTAGTAAAAATAGATTTTTTTAAACAAACGCAAAAGGGTATTTTTTGGTCTAATTCTTGTAGCCTCAGCTATATATATATATATATATATATATATATATATATATATAGAGTTTTATAGTCCAAGTGCACCCTTCTTTAGGACTTTTCAAAGCAGTTTTGTTACCCAGTGTCAAAATAAAACGACCAAGTTTACAGATACTTCAGAGCTTGGTACACAACACATGCACATGGTTTAAAACATGTAGTTGTAATGTGGTTTACACATTATATCTCTATATGTGGTGATTTGTGCAGCCTACTTTCTGTAATTTTTCTAGAAACTGAAAGATGGACATCTGTATCCCTGTCTGAGAAGATCTGACTGACGTCACATGTCTGTAGACTCTCATTGGTTTGGATCGGCTCGCTCTTCTGCCGTGGCCATATTTGTTGATGTGTCATATCAGACTTGTTGGGTGATCAGCTGGTTAAAACAGTGACCACTAACTTCATCCTTATTTTAACTGTCATCTCACGGATATACGTCATGGGGTTTCGGCATTCGGTGGGTAAAATCTATCTTTAGTCTTCTTCCGTTTATGTTAGATGCTAACGCTAGCTGCGCAAGCTGAAGTGCATTTTTACGAACTCATGTGTTGTTAGCTTAGCTCGTTAAATGTAAGCCAATTGTGGGCGAATAACGTTATAATTTACCAACGTCGGGTTTAGCACAAATTGATTGAAACCACGTGTTGTTCGTTTTATTCTTTCTTTGGGTTTTGTTTTGCTCGTTGTTTTCCAGCGAGCTGCTTCATTGCTAGTGCTAGCGAGCTAAACGGCAGATGCTAACGTGACATTGAGTGTAAGTACATTAATAGTGAATAAAACGGTACATCTGTCTGCTACTGAAGGTCATCTTCCTGTTTTACTGTGCTCCAACATAGTTTATTGAATATGGACAACAACGTTAGGCTAACTCTAGTGTTGTGGCATTTTACACCTGTCAGTTGAGCATCTTAAGGCATTGATTTCTCTTTAAAGAAAGCTTTCGCTGTTTTAACTGAGCAAGCCGAACGTTTTATTGATAATTTTACATGTTAGCTGAGGCTACAGAGAGCCATAACGTCCAGGTTTTACATGATTTACAAATATTTGATCCCCAAAATACATAATGATGACAGACGAATGTGGATCCTTTAATGTTCCTTCTGGAACAGTAAACCTGCTACAACTACTACTTTTATTACACCGATCTTTCAATCTGGAGCTGATTTAAGCTTACCAGCCATCTTCTTAATTGCTCTAGTAATTAGCACAGAAAATGCTGATGAAGCTTCTTTTTGACCCAATGTAGGATTTAAATTGTTCTAGCTCGGATGTCTCCAATCTGCGGTTCTAGGGCCACATGTGGCTCTTTAGCCCCTCTGAAGTGGATCCCTGTGACTCTTACTATTATTACCCGAGCTTGAGTAATGTTAATAATGAAACTGATATCAGGAAAGACTTTTAGCAGTTTTCCCATTCAGATTTTTTCTATGTTTATATAGATTTTCCACAGAAGGGTGACACTTCAAATATTTATTTTAAATGTGTGCTGTACACAGCTTCCCATCATCTGAGCACAATATTTGCTAAAAATAGCTTGGAGTTTTCTTAAAATGCCCTTTACTTGTTAGTTTAAAACATTTGCATGCTTGCTTCTCATTTTATTTAACCCATCTTTCTAAGGTACGGTGTGATTTCTCTCCAAAAAAAGCCCATTAATGTAGCATTTTTCAGTGTATTCTAAAACAAAGCTAGTCAGTCTGAATCAAGGATCGCTGTCATGCACATTTTAGCTGCTCTTTACACCAACACATCTGAATTAATTGTGGCAAGGTGTAGAAATGAGAGCCCGGGCGGGATACGATCCCCAGACTCCCGGGTGAGAGTCACGCGCACTTACCAGTCAGCCAAAGGGACATCCCCTTGGCCAAGTAGCCAGGGTGCATGATCAATCGGGACACTGTGACAGGATGCTCACACTGCCACATAATGATTCAATCGTAAATTCACTGTGTCCTTACTGAATGAAACTAGGCGTGTTGGTGTGTAGAAACATAGAAAACGTGCAGGTAGTGTTCCTCTGAGACAGGACTGAATAGCCTTGCTGCAGGCAGATTGCTGTAAATGGAAATGTTTTGCACATTTCTGAAAATGCTGTGCAGCAAGTTATTTTTGCAACACAGAAAAAAAGTTATATTAAAATTAAACTATTGAACTATTGATTGTAGACTTCTGTTCTCTGAAAACCTAGTTCAGACTGAGATAATGACCTGATAACTGACCTAGTTCTGTCATTGTTCCACATTTATGAGCTGGTAACATTTGTTTGTGCTGATAGCAACATGTTTTCACATCGTCACTGCGGGCACAGTTTGTTAAGCCAATTGAAACAAGAACGAAACTTGATGAGATGAACATGATTGTGATTGATGAGGTGACTGAACACATTAGCAGCAAAAGGGATGATTGAAAGTGTTGTTACCTAGGCAACAGAGATTCAAGACAAATCTTTGCTGTGTGACGCTCTCAGACACACACACCTTTCAGGTAATCATGCCATGGGTGTGGCCGGGAACACTCTGTGAGTGAGTGAGTGAGTGAGTGAGTGAGTGAGTGAGTGAGTGAGTGAGTGAGTGAGTGAGTGAGTGAGAGACCTGTTTGCATCTCAACATTCTTGAGGTTTTTCTTTTGGTAATAGATGGAAACGTGCAACACTATTGGGTTTGGCTTGATAGGGAAATATTCAAATAGCACAGGGGTTTTTACCCTCAGGTATTTTTACTTGCAGACTGTTGTTTAAAATGCAAAACGATGATGGCAGCGTTCTGCTTTTAAATCCTTTTTTTCTGTTATGTCGTCTTCTTTCTGTGCCAGATGTGAACCGGTGACAGACAATGAAACAGCCTGGTCTGACTACAGATCTGCAGATAATGGAGGGATCAGAAGTCACATCCATGCCAGAGGAATCAGACTCTGTGGATCAGCGCCACAATAACCCGTCCAGTCTAAAAGAGGAGGAAACCTCACACAGCAATGCACATGAGGAAGAAAGTATTTGCCAGACAAATAGTGAGTTTCAACTTCAAAGTGAGTTAGCCAAAACTACAATAGATGTTGAAGAGGACACAAAAGCACAGCAGGAACCTCTAGAAGAAGAGGAAACTGCTCCTGATGTTAAATATGATGCCAGTACAGTTTTAAGTGAAAGTCATAAACCTCCACTTAGTCTTTCTAATGAAGACTCTGCTGTTTTGAGACCTCCTGCCACCTGTCAGGATGTATCACAAACCTCTCCTGTTCTTGAAGGGACAACAGAGCCATTATTGACTTTTGATGAAGAAACTCAAAACAGCACCGAGCAGCCATTGGTTTTAGTAACTGAATCTGCAGAGTCATCTCCTGCAGACAATAGAGATTCAGCTGAAACTCCATCTTCTTCTTTCCAAAATACTTCCAACAATTCCCCTACAGCCTCTAGTATGTCTAATGGTCCCTCCACGCCAAACTCTGACACACTGAGTGCCTCGCTCGCGTCTAACCGTCATTTCGGTGCCAACAGCTCAGTCCCCTCACATTCCACACCAAGCCCCTTTGACACGGACTGCAGTCGGAAACTTATTTCCCAGATCCAGCGCTCCCTGTCGCAAGAGTCCCTGCTGGATGAGCTTGAGTCGGAGCTGCTGGCTTGTCAGCTGCCTGAAGGAGAAAGCAGAGGAGAAAATAAAGGGAGCCCACCTGTTAATGGACTTGCGGCAGACCAGGAAGGCTGCATGATGGTCTTTGAGAAGTGTGTGCAGTACAAATGTGCCCAGCAGGAGAAAGCTATTCAGAAGTAAGTTGATCCTTCTTAGGAAGTACTAGTTGGTATGAGTTGTTGACCACTGTTCTGTTTACACCTGGTATGAAGTGTGTTTGTGTTAATCTGGCCCTTGGTTCTGTCAGTGCTAAGGTGTTTGAGTATAATTGCTAATAGTTTTCTGCATTGTTTGGACCTCATAGCTCTAATCTGAACCTGAAGTGTCTGAGAAGGTGACCTGATTTGTGAATATGTGTGTGTGTGATTTTCCTTAGGTTGCTGGAGGAGAATAAGAGACACCAGGAGCTGATACTGGGTATCTGCTCAGAGAAGGACAACATGAGGGATGAGTTGAAGAAGAGGACAGAAACGGAGAAACAACACATCACCATCATCAAAAAGGTCTCTTTTTGTTCTTGGCCCTTTTGTGTGCTATAGTGGCCTCAAAAAATACAAATGCTATAAAATCAATATTTGTACCTTTTGTTGGTGTTTTTATACGGACATAGTAGCCTTGTTTGGTTTATTTCAATAGCAGATTTACAAGAGTTTGACTTGCTGTGTACATATTTACCTTTTTAATAATTGCACCATACCTGTAAATTTACAGATGCTCCTGGGTGTCTTACAACAACAATAATACATATTTTATCACCTATTTCACTTGTGTGTCTCATTAATGTGCGAGTCGTTTGTAAGGAAGACTTGATTTTTTTTCTGAAATGCTGGTTGTAGTAATTATTCAAACTATAGAAACAGATTTTATTTCCTCAGTTTTGATGTGGATTAAATATCTTAAGAGTTAGCCCACACTGACTGCAAAACAAAAACAACAGAGCTTGTTAAGCCACTTCAGTCACAATACCTCCAGTTTTATAACATCTGGATCCCTGAATAGCTGGTAATTAAGATGTCGAATGAAGCAGGTGGTATAGGAGGGGACAATCACTCTGAATCAGTTATTGTGTGTTTTTGTCCCACCCTGTTTCTCTTTGATTTGATTTGCAAAGCCCTCCAAAACACGAGTGCCTTCCCGTTCACCAGGACCAAATTACAGTTGTTGCTGTAGATGGAGCAACTAGCATTTCATGCTTCACTCTCTTGGCATGGTTTATGTGAAGATGAGGGTACAACAGGAAAGAAAGGCTATCTGTTTGTTTCAAAATCATTAAGTTGTAGCTTTGTTAATTTTATTTTTAAATTCAACATTTTAATCAAAATGAATACCAGCGCAGAGGTTGTGTCAGGCTAACTCTCTGTACTCCCTGGCGTTGTAGCTGGAGGGCAGAGCGGAGGAGCTGCTGAAGGAACTGAAGGAGTCTCGGGAGAAACTCATCCACCAGGAGCAGACGGCTAAAGCTGCTCTCCAGCAGCAGCTGAAGGAGACGACTTACCGGATCGAGCAGGTATGACTGGGAGCCAAAAACTCTGAAACTTCTGACTAACTTGTCTCACCAGTTTTTCCAAGTCTGACCCGTGTTTTGGTATTCCTCCCTTCATGCCTCAGTAGCGTTTGAGGTGTGTTTTTGAATTTTGATCTACAGTAGAGATTTACTGTTTTTGACAGATCATTTTGTTTTTCCCACTGAAACCTTGTTGTTTTGTTTGTTTCGTTTTGACCTTTGAGCTTTTGAAAGTTGGTTCAATGGCTTGAAATAGTTTAGTTTTTAGTAAACTTTAGGTGTGTGTGTTGAATAGAATCCCAAAGGCAAAGCTGTGTTGGAAGGGATTCTTGTGAACAGGCGGGTTTAAACTTGAGTCTAAGGAATTAAACTATTAAGCTGTTGCCCCTGTTTTCTTTCCCCATCATGGGATTTAGTTAACCACAATAATAAAACAACGTGACATGTTGGCCTTTTGTGTGCTGGCTACACTGTGGTGTTTTGGGATGAAAAGAGAGTGTGTATTAGCTTTGATCCAGGCTTGCTCTACAGGTTCTAGATCAGACCTTTCTTGATCCTCATCCAGAAAGTTGGTGAACATGGTAAACAACTTCTCCTCCTCTATAGTTTAAACCCCTCCCATGCAGAAGAAGACCCTGGTGCATCATTTATAAAGCTTGCTTAAGCACAAAACAGTCTGAAAACCGACTTTCCGCGCAAACTTGTGAGTAATAAAACTCGGCTTTAAGCAAACTTTGGCCCGGGCATAAGCACATTTTAGAGATGGTGAAATGTTTAATTTAGGGCATGTTTTCAGACTAGACACACACACACACACACACACACACACACACACACACACACACACACACACACACACAGTTCTCTGAACTGAGAATAAATAAATATGTTTAATTAACATACAACTTCTTAAGAGATTACTATCATATGTCTTCAAATTACCTATTTGTGCATTAATTGTGTCACACACAACAGTGCATCTGTACAAATCTATGAACTAATAACGGCACCACAGTGACACAGGCGGAGGTGCACCTGCGGGAGTCAGGAGTTCTGACAACACTAGCTCACTCCAGCGGAGATTGGCCGACCGTTGGACTGATGTTTGTTTATTAGGGACAATATTTCCTGCATAAAGCCCTTTTGGGTTAAATAAAATGTTTTCATTAAATGTTCCCCTTAGAGCTGTAAAATGTCAGCAGTCCGATGAACCTACAGCCACTTTTACTCAACTCCACTCAGACTTTATTTGTATAGCGCCTTACAGACATGAAACGTGGCACCAAGGCACTTCAGACAAAAAAAATCTATTTAAAAACAAACAAAAAATAACAAACACGGACAGAATAAAAACAGTAGCATAATTTATATATATATATATATATATATATATATATATATATATATATATATTTTTTTTTAAACTAACAATAAGAGGAAAATGTCAAAAGTTGATCTTCAGCCTTGTTTTAAAAACTGCTGCAGAAGTATGAGCCCTTATGGACAGAGGAAAGTCATTCCAAAGCTTCGGGCCAGCCACTGAAAATACTCTAGCTCCTCTCATCTTTAGATGTGATCGAGGGACCGAAAGCAGCAAAAGATTCTCAGAACGAAGTATGCAAGTCGGGGCATGTGGTTGTAATTGGGCTGCCAGGTAAGGTGGCACCAATCCATTCGGAGCCTTGAAGATGAGTAAAAGAAGTTTAAAACAAATTCCAGCAATGGGCAACCAATGTAATGCAGCTAAAACCGGGTAACAAGGTCAAACTTCCTCTTGCCCTTTTAAAAACCAGCTGCGTTTTGCACAAGCTGCATCCTGGCTATAGTACCCGGACTTGCACCAAATAGGACCAAATTAAAATAGCTTTTATTAATAGTATCAATGATCATTGCTCCATCTGACCACTTATTTTTATGTTTTTATTTTCTATGCTGTGATTGCTTAAGAGCCCACCGCTGCAGCAGCGCGATGCTGCTCAAAGTCAATTAAAAACGTTTTCTGTGCCTGCGTCACACCCTAGAACCCTGATTTTCATCTTGGTCGTCATTGTTACCTGTGACATGCAATAGATAAGCAAGTTTATGTATATGTTCAATTTTCATAATGTAGTTTGCATTGTCCATTTATGGTAGAAAGTGGGTGTTTAGGAGGTGGGATCACATCCAGAAACACCTGAGTGAGCACATTTCTAGGACAGTCAATCAATCAAACTTTATTTATTTATAAAAAGAGTTTTTCCTACAAATGTGCAACTCTAAATGCTTTACAGATTAAAATGACCCTACATAACCCCATTGCTATCCCTCCCACACTAAAGCATCCTTGAACCGTCACCTTATCGTGGTGGAGGAGTTTGAGTGCCCTAATGATCCTAGGAGCTATGTTGTCTGGGGCACTTAGTGCCCCTGGTAGGGTCTCCCATGACAAATTGGTCTTAGGTGAAGGGTGAGACAAAGAACGGTTCGAAGGATCTTTCATGGCGGTTAAAACGAAGAGTCGGAGTACCCGGCCCGGAGGGTTACCGGGGTCCCACCCTGGAGCCAGGCCTGGGGTTGGGGCCCGTGAGCGAGCGCCTGGTGGCCGGGCTTTCGCCCATGGGGCCCGGCCGGGCCCAGCCCGAACCGGATACATGGGCTCGTCCAACTGTGGACCCACCACCCGCAGGAGGAACATGAAGGGTCCGGTGCAATGTGAATCGGGTGGCAGACCAAGGCGGGAGCCTTGGCGGTCCAATCCCCGGACAAGAAAACTAGTTTTTGGGACATGGAACGTCACCTCGCTGGCGGGGAAGGAGCCGGAGCTTGTGGCAGAGGTTGAGCGGTACCGGCTAGATATAGTCGGACTCACCTCGACACATAGCATTGGCTCTGGAACCCGAGACCTGGAGAGGGGTTGGACACTCTACTTTGCTGGAGTTGCTCCGGGTGAGAGGCGGAGGGCTGGGGTTGGCTTTTTGTTAGCCCCGAGACTCTCTGCCTGTGTGTTGGGGTTTACCCCGGGGGACAAGAGGGTAGCTTCCTTGCGCCTTCGGGTCGGGGAACGGGTCCTGACTGTTGTTTGTGCTTATGGGCCAAATATCAGTTCAGAGTACCCACCCTTTTTGGAGTCCCTGGGACGAGTGCTAGATAGTGCTCCATCAGGGGACTCCATTGTCCTGCTGGGGGACTTCAATGCTCACGTGGGCAATGACAGCTTGACCTGGAGGGGTGTGATTGGGAGGAACGGCCCACCTGATCAGAACTCGAGCGGTGTTTTGTTATTGGACTTCTGTGCAAGCCGCAGTTTGGCCATAACGAACACCATGTTCGAACATAAGGATGCCCACCGGTACACTTGGTACCAGGGCAGCCTAGGTCACAGGTCGATGATAGATTTTGTAGTCGTATCATCTGACCTGCGGCCGTATGTTTTGGACACCCGAGTGAAGAGAGGGGCGGAGCTGTCAACTGATCACCACCTGGTGGTGAGTTGGATCAGATGGCAAGGGAACATGCCGCGTAGACCTGGCAGACCCAAACGCATAGTGAGGGTCTGCTGGGAACGCCTGGCAGAAGAACCTGTCAAGACGGTCTTCAACTCCCACCTCCGGCAGAGCTTTGACCACGTCCCGAGAGCAGTGGGGGACATTGAGTCCGAGTGGGCCTTGTTCCACTCTGCGATTGTCGAGGCGGCTGTTGCTAGCTGTGGTCGTAAGGTGGCCGGTGCCAGTCGTGGTGGCAACCCCCGTACCCGCTGGTGGACACCAGAGGTTCGGGGAGCCGTCAGGCTGAAGAAGGAGGCCTACAGGGCGTGGCTGGTCTGTGGGTCTCCGGAGGCAGCAGACAGGTACCGGATAGCCAAGCGGGGTGCAGCAGTGGCAGTTGCCGAGGCAAAATCTCGGGCGTGGGAGGAGTTTGGTGAGGCCATGGAGAAAGACTATCGATCGGCTCCAAAGAGGTTCTGGCAAACTGTCCGGCGCCTCAGGAGAGGAAGGCAGCAACTCGCTCACACTGTTTACAGTGGGGATGGGGAGCTGCTGACGTCAACTGAGGCTATAGTCGGACGGTGGAAGGAATACTTTGAGGAGCTCCTCAATCCCACCAATGCGCATTCCGAGGAGGAACCAGAGCTGGGAGGCCTGGGGATGGACTGTCTGATCTCGGGGGCAGAAGTTGCTGAGGTAGTCAAACAACTACACAGCGGCGGAGCCCCGGGGGCGGATGAGGTTCGTCCTGGGTATCTCAAGGCTATGGATGTTGTAGGGCTGTCATGGTTGACACGTCTCTACAACATTGCGTGGTCATCGGGGGCAGTTCCTAGGGAGTGGCAGACCGGGGTGGTGGTCCCCATCTTTAAGAAGGGTGACCTGAGGGTGTGTTCCAACTATAGGGGGATCACACTCCTCAGCCTCCCTGGAAAGGTCTACTCCAAGGTACTGGAGAGGAGGGTCCGATCGATAGTTGAATCTCAGATAGAGGAGGAGCAATGTGGTTTTCGTCCTGGCCGTGGAACTGTGGACCAGCTCTATACCCTTGCAAGGGTGATGGAGGGGGCATGGGAGTTTGCCCAACCAATCCACATGTGCTTTGTGGATTTGGAGAAGGCTTATGACCGTGTCCCCAGGGGCACCCTGTGGGGGACGCTCCAGGAGTATGGGGTGGGTGGCTTTCTGTTAAGGGCCATTCAGTCCCTTTACCAGAGGAGCGTGAGTTTGGTCCGCATAGCCGGTAGTAAGTCGGACCTGTTCCCAGTGAGGGTTGGACTCCGCCAGGGCTGCCCTTTGTCACCGGTTCTGTTCATCACTTTTATGGACAGAATTTCTAGACGCAGCCGTGGTGTGGAGTGTGTCGAGTTTGGTGGCAGGAGAATCTCGTCTCTGCTTTTTGCGGATGATGTGGTCCTCCTAGCTTCATCCAGCTCTGACCTTCAGCTCTTGCTGGGTAGGTTCGCGGCCGAATGTGAAGCGGCTGGGATGAGGATCAGCACCTCCAAATCTGAGACCATGGTTCTCGACCGGAAAAGGGTGGCTTGCCACCTCCGGGTCGGGGGAGAGGTCCTACCTCAAGTGGAGGAGTTTAAGTATCTCGGGGTCTTGTTCACGAGTGAGGGTAGGAGGGATCGGGAGATCGACAGGCGGATTGGTTCGGCGTCTGCAGTGATGCGGACGCTGAGCCGATCTGTCGTGGGGAAGAGGGAGCTGAGCCAGAAAGCCAGGCTCTCGATTTACCGGTCGATCTACGTCCCAATCCTCACCTATGGTCATGAGCTTTGGGTAATGACCGAAAGAACGAGATCGCGGATACAAGCGGCCGAAATGAGTTTCCTCCGTAGGGTGGCCGGGCTCAGCCTTAGAGATAGGGTGAGGAGCTCGGACATTCGGGAGGGACTCGGAGTAGAACCGCTGCTCCTCCGGATCGAAAGGAGCCAGTTGAGGTGGTTTGGGCATCTGGTCAGGATGCCTCCTGGACGCCTCCCCGGGGAGGTGTTTCGGGCATGTCCTGCCGGCAGAAGGCCCCCGGGTCGACCCAGGACACGTTGGAGAGGTTACATCTCCAATCTGGTCCGGGAACGCCTTGGGGTCCTGCCGGAGGAGCTGGTGGACAAGGCCGGGGAGAGGACGGCCTGGAGCTCCCTAGTTGGGATGCTGCCCCCGCGACCCGGACCCGGATAAGCGGAGGAAGACGAGACGAGACGAGACTTAACTTACTAAATTTGACCCCTCAGCGTGCTGGGAAGTTTTTCCGATGTACGGCTTATTCCCAACATTTTCCTGCTTTCTTCAGCAGTCAGTACCCCGTGTAAAGGATGGGTAGTTTACATCTTACTTATGAACCATAAAATGTGAGATTCCATAGAAATATGAAATAACAATCTGATGGATCTTTGAATATTTTAACCAAAAGATCAGAACTTTTTATTGCAAGGATTAAGCGACACTTCGATTTAACTCCAAGGAAAGAGAGAGAGTCAGGTTTAAAATAGTTAAGAAATTTATTTCTACACAATTTAAACACTAACTTTAACACTCTGTGCACTGATGGACTAAGGTGGAGCGAGACGTGAGATGAATGATGGTGTGTGTGTGAAGTGTTATTATCAGAACAAGCGGATCCGGAGAAGCATTTAGTTCTGAGTGGGAGTGAATGTTTCGCTTTAAACTGTAGTAGGAGATTTATAAATGGTAAATGGCCTGTATTTGATATAGCGCCTTCTAGAGTCCCGGAACCCCCCAAGGCGCTTTACAACACAATCAGTCATTCACCCATTCACACACACATTCACACACTGGTGGGGATGAGCTACGATGTAGCCACAGCTGCCCTGGGGCGCACTGACAGAGGCGAGGCTGCCGAGCACTGGCGCCACCGGTCCCTCCGACCACCACCAGCAGGCAACGTGGGCTAAGTGTCTTGCCCAAGGACACAACGACAGCCACACACATAAAACGCCATCTGTCGGTCTACGTAACCCAGGGGAAGTCTCTGTTTAGATCCAGATTGTCGAGGTCCTCTTGGACCCTCCTTGGAACCGAAGCCGGTAGAAAAGCAGCGGTGCAGACCAAACTAGTCTGGGAATGCTTCCAGGTCATAACAGGTTATCATTGGCTTCAGCGAGACCCTGAAGGGGTCATGAGGTTCAGCTTTTATTCTGAAGGAACTGTTGCGGTCAGGTGTAACTTGCAACAGATTTTATCCAGCTTGTCGAGGTTCTTTTGGTTGAAGAGGAAGTCCGGATGGCCTCTCCGAGACTTCTCTAGAACGCTTGAACTAAAGAAAAGGTGGCGTGGAATAATTTATATACTTGTCATATTTTGGTTTACTGGCGAATCAGAATTTGACGTGCAAAAGAGGGTTTATACAAACACCACAGAAAACCACGCCTCGTGTCAGAAACGAAGGTTCTGATTGGATCAGACAAAAGGAAATGTGTCGTGTGGCTTTAGCATTACGTGTCATTAGTGTTTAGTGCAAATGTCCAGGATTATAATTACTTGTAAAATACTACTGATCACAGGATTATAATATCAAATAATAACATTGTCATTTCACAGATTGATTGAACATTGGGCTCACATTATTATTGGTAATAACAAAGTTGTTGATTATGTGTTCAACAAGAGAGTTCTTCATCTTCGTCTTGGTAACAAAGGTAAAGCAGTTCAGATGAGCAGAGTGCATGAAAGACCTTGGCCGCTATCTCATGTAGATTAGCCTGTCAGAGACTTTATGTCTGCTCGAGCAGATGCAGCAGATCATGACCTTTAGGTCAAAAACAGGACATTCATGACACTACACCCGCTCTGATCTCGCCACAGTTACAGCTTGTAGCCCATCTGTTAATTCAAATTAATAATAATCTCAAAAGAAACACTGTTTTGGTACTGTGGATTCAGGTGGACACAGGTGAGCTGTGATGTTTGAAGAGACCCTGTGTGTGGCTGGTCAATTTGTTGTGTAGCCCTAAAGCACCAGTCATTAAGTTTTTAGCAGATGTTTAGTAACATGGTCAAACAGCTGGGATGAAGCTACACCTCACTCCCTGCAGCTTCATGAGCTCTATCCAACTCTCAGAACATTGCAGGTTTTATTTTTATTTTTAGTAACACGACCAGCATGTCTCCTAAAGGAACAGTAACAGTGCAACAGCAATAACAATAACCTTCTTATTGATCATTACAATGCTGAGTATTTGAAGATATTTACATTTTTTCAGATATTTGCTAAAGTGGCACATTAAGGTCTTAATGATGGGTTTGGATATATTCTACAGAAGTAAACCATAGTACTTATAAGGTAATTGAAATCCTATGTGTAAAAGGGATTTACTATTTATTCATATTTTAAAGAGATTTTATTTCATGATTTTATTATTTCTAAGTTTTTTCCTGTCCATATTAACACCATGAGGCTTGTAGTTAATAAAAGTGGCTCCACAAGACTTTGAATTTGGCCTGTGAATTTGGTTGTTTAGTCATTTCTGTTCAGTAAAAACAAATTGATCTACAGTATATAAAAATAACCCATTTTTCTGCCCCCTTTTCTATGACAGTAAGGGGATTTCAATGGTTTCCCCTTTCTTCACTTTAAAAATAGAGCTCAGATTGATCAGTGAGCTGTTGTTTCCCTTTATTAAAGTTAGATTAACATTGTTTATGAATCTGACCTAAATTCAGTCACAACTGTCATGCATCTTTGTTTTGCTTTGGTGAATAATTCCACAAAACTAGCAGCTGGATGTTCAGGGTCTTTGCACACCAAACTCCTGTTATTGCAGGTTTAATCTTTTGTTAAGCACAAAGTGCAGAAGGGACTGTGTTTCCTTGAGTTCTGCACACCTGGTTGAAACCATGTTAGGCGCTTTTCTCCTGACAGTTTTGTCACACCTCACAATTTTTAATTTCACTGTTCAGTGAACATTATGAGTTAGATTTAGCGCTTAGCTCTTTTTAAGCCCCATGCTTTGTGCTGTTCCTTGCTTGTGTTGAGATGGTGACCCGGTCTTAATGGTGTTGCTGCCTCCAGGTCCTGAACATTTGCTTATGTTCATTTTTAGCAGCTTTTTGCCAAATAACTGATTGTGAAAGCAATGAAACCAAAGTAAAACAATAAATAAAAAGAAATCCTACAAGAACTCAAGACTGAGTCTGTTTGCAGACTCCTGAATGTACATCTATGGAGCCAGTAACACTGGTATGAAGTCAACTGATCAGAGGACAAAGGCTCATGTGACTCCTTGTTGCACCAGAAAGAACAAAAATGGAGATTAAAGCTGAAAATTACTGACCCATTATTTGAGTGCTAATTAAAATGGGAAATTATTTTTGCTCTGCTGAATGTAGGTAATCAAAATGTTTCTCTTATGTGTCTGAAACCAGTATTTACCCAGTTACATACTCTCAACAGACCCTCTTTTCAATCTAAAGATGTATTTATTAGAGGACATTTAATAGAACAGTATTTTTCCTGGAACTGAATGTGCTAAATTGAATTATTCCAACCATCCCTCTAGGTGAACAAGAAGTGTGATGAGGCACGCCAAGAGAAGGAAACCATGGTGATGAAATATGTCCGGGGGGAGAAGGAAGCCCTCGACCTGAGGCGGGACAAGGAGAGTTTGGAGAAGAGGCTCAGGGAAGCCCTGAAGGAAGTGGACCGCCAGGCCCTCCGAGGAAACCAGCTGGCTCAGGAGAAGGGGCGGCTGCAGCAGCTGTATGATGCAAAGGTCAGAAATACAATCACGATTGTGCTTTAGAAATGTAACATCTTACAAACGTAAACATCTGTGTGATAGATGTCTGGGCCGGAGCTGTGTTTGTACTTCCTGCTTGTCTCATAGCCATCTCATCTGTGCCTCTGTGTTTACAGGAAGGCGAGGTCGGCAGGTTGGCACGAGAGGGGGAGAAGTTAAAGGAGGAGATCAACTCCCATCTCATCAAAGTCAAATGGGCCCAGAACAAACTGAAGAGTGAAGCAGACTCTCATAAGGTACTAAATTGACTTTGTCATGACTTCATACAAACGAAGGGAGGACAGCTGTCTTCCAGTTGTTTATAAATGTGATGCATTTAAATAGTAATATTATTTTTAGTTAAAGAGTTTATTTCTGTAAAATTTGAATACAGTGGTGTGAAAAACTATTTGCCCCCTTCCTGATTTCTTATTCTTTTGCATGTTTGTCAGAAAATGTTTCTGATCATCAAACACATTCAACCATTAGTCAAGTAAACACTAAATGCAGTTTTGAAATGATGGTTTTTATTATTTAGGGAGAGAACAAAATCCAAACCTACATTGCCCTGTGTGAAAAAGTAATTGCCCCCTGAACCTAATAACTGGTTGGGCCTCCCTTAGCAGCAATAACTGTGATAACTTGCTACGAGTCTTTTACAGAGCTCTGGAGGAATTTTGGCCCACTCATCTTTGCAGAATTATTGTAATTCAGCTTTATTTGAGGGTTTTCTAGCATGAACCGCCTTTTTAAGGTCATGCCATAGCATCTCAATAAGATTCAGGTCAGGACTTTGACTAGGCCACTCTAAAGTCTTCATTTTGTTCTTCCGCCATTCAGAGGTGGATTTGCTGGTGTGTTTTGGGTCATTGTCCTGCTGCAGCACCCAAGATGGCTTCAGCTTTAGTTGACGAACAGATGGCCGGACATTCTCCTTCAGGATGTTTTGGTAGACAGTAGAATTCATGGTTCCATTTATCACAGCAAGCCTTCCAGTTCCTGAAGCAGCAAAACAACCCCAGACCATCACACTACCACCACCATATTTTACTGTTGGTATGATGTTCTTTGTCTGAAATGCTGTGTTACTTCTACGCCAGATGTAACGGGACATTTGCCTTCCAAAAGGTTCAACTTTTGTCTCATCAGACCACAAGGTATTTTCCCAAAAGTCTTGGCAACCATTGAGATGTTTCTTAGCAAAATTGAGACGAGCCCTAATGCTCTTTTTGCTTAACGGTGGTTTGCATCTTGGAAATCTGCCATGCAGGCCATTTTTGCCCGGTCTCTTTCTTATGGTGGAGTCATGAACACTGACCTTAACTGAGGCAAGTGAGGCTGCAGTTCTTTAGAAGTTGTCCTGGGGTCTTTTGTGACCTCTCGGATGAGTTGTCTCTGCGCTCTTGGGGTAATTTTGGTCGGCCGCCCACTCCTGGGAAGGTTCACCACTGTTCCATGTTGTTGCCATTTGTGGATAATGGCTCTCACTGTGGTTCGCTGGAGTCCCAAAGCTTTAGAATTGGCTTTATGACCTTTACCAGACTGATCGATCTCAATTACTTTTGTTCTCATTTGTTCTTGAATTTCTTTGGATCTTGGCATGATGTCTAGCTTTTGAGGTGCTTTTGGTCTACTTCTCTGTGTCAGGCAGCTCATGTTTAAGTGATTTCTTGACTGAAACAGGTGTGGCAGTAATCAGGCTTGGGGGTGGCCACAGAAATTGAACTCAGGTGTGAAACACCGCAGTTGGGTTATTTTTTAACAAAGGGGGCAATTACTTTTTCACACAGGGCAATGTAGGTTTGGATTTTGTTCTCTCCCTAAATAATAAAAACCATCACATGAAAAATGCAAACAAAACAACCCTCCTAAAAATTTACTTAAAAGATTTATTAAAAAAGTGTAAAAATGAACTAAAAGGACATGAATTATTTACAATACCTAAGCATAGAATAATTATAAAGGAGTGCTGTGTGTCTATATATGGAGTTAAAATATGGAATAAGCTAGGTAATATAATCAAGGATGCGAAAACGATATTTACTTTCAAAAAACTAATTAAAAATGAAATACTGGAATCATATGTGCAAATCAATTACATAAAGATAATAATAAATACATTAATAAATAAATAAAGCTATAGAAGATGTGTAGGTATATTCATGTGTGTATGTATAAATATGTATGTATGTATGTATGTATGTATGTATGTTTGTGTATATGTAGTGGATACGTGTGTATATCTATATGCATATGTATATATGAAGGATGTGTGACCATATGGGCATGCAATGCACTTTAATGTATACATGTGTGAATAGATATATGTGCAAAAATCCTTTTACTTTTTGAATTATTATCACTATTCATTTTTTCTTTTTTCTTTACAAATGGAACTCAAGTTAGCTAACCAGTCAAGCAATTACTTTGTATAGGCTAATTTATAATTATTGTAATTTCGGTGTAAAAATGTCATTTTAGTTAAAAAGGGGCAGATAACATAAGTTTTCTTCTTTCTGTTCCCTTTTCATTTTCTTGGTTTGAGAAACCTCATTTTATTGTTAATATTGTTTTTTTTCTATTTTAATAATAAATGAAATAATAAATAATAATAATAATAATAATTTCAAAACTGCATTTTGTGTGTACTTGTGTTATCTTTGACTAATGGTTGAATGTGTTTGATGATCAGAAACATTTTGAGTGACAAACATGCAAAAGAATAAGAAATCAGGAAGGGGGCAAATAGTTTTTCACACCACTGTATCTTTATTATTTTAAAGGTAAACTTTACTCATATTTTCATTGCGTTTACAGTGGTCTCTAGTAGGAATGAATGCTTTGTAAGTGGTTCTTTGGGGGGGGTGAAAGCTCAGTGCTCCTGTTTTGAGGATGTGGAATTTAGCTGGAGGAGAAATTGGCTTCAGACGATAGATTTGGAGTGTTTTTTATTGATATTTGGACATCTCACCTCCGATTGGCAAACAGCAACGTGACTACCACTGACTTCATTTGCTTTGCAAAGTTGATGTTTTATCTTCACAAATAACATAAGCGTAAAGGAGTTGTGCTGTGTGGTAGAGTTGCTAATGCCAACTGTTAGCTTCTACTAGCTGAGACGTGCTCTGCTGTTTCCTGGACGCTAAAACAACAACAGCCTTCCCCGTTGTGACTCAACATGGGTGACTCCATGAAGGTTAAGCGACAGTGTGACATAGATCTGTGAGGATTTTCAAATCCTAGAGCTTCACCGTCTATGTTCTAGCAGAAGATAGGTGTTTCATGTTCAACCTGCATGAAAAACTCATTATAATCAGAAATAATCATTAAAAATGTTTTTTTAGTGAAGTTGACTTTTAAATTAAAATACATTTTTCTTTATATTATTTTTTATTGTGACAGCCCTTTTTCTCAGTTTAATGGCACGCTGAATCCTAATCTCTTTGTTTTCTGAGCATTGACCGTTTTATTTTGAAAGAGTTGTACTGATTTCCATTTTTCTGTAAAATCAAAAATTCCGAACAGGTTTCTTTAGCTGATGGGAGTTGGGCATCTTTGAGTAATTATGTTTTCAACATTCCCTTTCTGCCATAGTGTTACATTTTATCATTGGGATCTGCTCAGAACCTTCTGCACTCCTGCGTCCCTGAAACATCACTCCTCCACCTCTGTGCTTCATTATTATGTTGTGTTGTTTGTGTTTGATCAGGCCAAGCCTACATATCTACATTTTTGTTCATTTTTAACTGTTTAGTTCCTTGTCTAAGTCAGAGGTTGCTTTTATTTTTCTGTTAAAATCAAATGTCGTATTTTGCCTCTATGCTGTAAAAGTTGCTGTTTCACTCCATCTTCCTCTTAACTGTCACAAAAATCCTGACTGAAACTGACGGTCCCTATAGAAACTCCTGAAGCACATTCACTCATCAGATCTGAAAGAAGTCTTAGAATTTATTTTAGAGGACATCCGCAGCATCTGTCAGTGTTTTTAGGGCTCGTTCTGATTTTCCTGCTTAACTGTTCCTGTGTTTTTTAATCTTTCCACCTTTCTTCCTGAATTACCTTTTGGAAGTTTCTGTCTTTTTTTTTTAGATGCACATGAGTTTTACGTTCATATATATCCCCTTTTCCTTTACATGCTGCTGCAGAAACAGCTGTCACCTCAACATGCTGCAGTCAGATTTCATTCCATCGACGAAAGACAGAATTTACGTTTACAGTTCGTGGTTAGAAAGGATTGTTCCTTTCATTTACAGTGTAAACATGTCTAATAGTGTTCAGTCATAAACTTAAACCCAGTGTTTGACATCCTCTTCAGTGGTTTTATCTGAAGACACCGCATAAGAACAACATTATCTGGGTTACTGATGGGGAAATGAAAGGATTATGGGGCTGTAATGAACCTGCAAGGAAGCCATCATTATCATTTTGCTTTGTTTTCCCCAAAAATCTGGTTATAAAATGATGTTTGTATCATTACCAGCCTCCAAGCAAATCAAAGAGGAAACAAAACCCAGCAGCTGCTGGAGGCCAGCGAGGGTTTTGGTTCTCTGTGTGCCGTTGATGTTCTTGTTCAAACAAAATCTGTGTTCATCAACTGGAAAGTTAAAAAGAGAGGAAAAATAGAGAGAACCCCTTTCATTGGGGTTTTATTTATCTTTCTTTTTGCATCACATCAACTGAAGCTTGTTTATTTTTCACCTCTGTGCAGGAAACAAAGGACCGACTGAGAGAAACAGCATCCAAGTTAGCTCAGGCGAAAGAGGAGACTGAACAGATTCGTAAGAACTGCCAGGACATGATTCGAACCTACCAGGTTTGTCACGTTCACGATCCTAGATGAGAGGAGAAGCAGCCTGCTCGTGCCTCTTTGTGTTTTTGGGAGTCCTAAAGACTTGTGATCATTTACACGCATCCCCGTTTTTACAGACTACATAAAGGCAGTTTTGTAAGCACAGCTAATCTGAGCCAGATGGATTCAGCTTTTTAGAAAAGAGGCAGTTTTCATGTGTACCTTATGATGGTGGTAAAGAGCTGTGCAGGGATCTGTTGGAGCTGTCTTCAACAAACAGGAACACATCATTTACCACACAAAAACCTCTCAGAAAGGACTCAACTTTAGATAAATGAATTAAAAAGTTGATCTGCTGTTGCCACTCTTTTATGTGGCTGTTCTTTATCTTCTTTATCCTCGTGTTTCTAAACGAGACTCATCCCTCCTTTAGGAGTCAGAGGAGCTCCGGTCCAATGAGCTGGACGCTAAACTCAGAGAAACCAAAGGAGAGCTGGAGAAACACAAGCAGGAGCAAACCGACCAATTAGAGGTGACACTCTCTCACACACACACACACACACACGCACGCACGCACGCACGCACGCACGCACGCACGCACGCACGCACATACACTTCATCCCCATCTCTTCCCTTTAAAGCCAATGTGGATTTGACCCAGTCCAGATTTTAGGGTGCCCCTCCACATCACCACAGCCTAAACCCTTCTCTGAAGATGACTGTTGTATAACTTTTATTTCCCACTTGGCCAGTAATCGTTTGTTTATTGATGGTGGGCTTAAAGCTCTCAAAGACAATCAGCTGTGTTTCCTCGACTTCAAAGGTACTAGCCTCAACTCTGAGACTGAATCAGGTTTCTTCTGTTGCTCTGCACGCAAACGCGCTCAGTCCAAACTCAGTGGCCTGTTTCAGTGATCCTCTGGTGAGAATCAGACTTTAAAAATAAATGACCCAGAAATAATCAATATTAGGCTGTGTGTTTCAGCAACAACCCAGGAGAAATGCCTCTGATAAATATTTCATTTACACAGGTTCACAATTTTTATACTATTATAAAAATGATAGTTTTCTATATTTAAATGGTAAACATTTCTATTTTTTGCATATTGTTTGATTATTTTTTGATGATAAACTTCTAACTGAAACCGTTGCCATCCTGACCGCATGCAGCGCGTTTCCGGGCCACTTTTGAGCATCGATCCATGTGTTTTTATTTTTTGTTGGCTTGTGTCGTCTCCCTGCTGATGAAACGTCAGCACAGACCCGTATTTATTTTAAAATGTGTGTCATGCACACGTGATGTTGCAACTAAAATATGAATGATGCCTACCGGACTGCATCCATTACCGTTTGGTGATGGCATTCAGATGGGATGTGAAGGCAACAGGATTCGGCAGCTGCGTTGTCTGGTCTACCATTTCCTTCTAGTGACTTGGAAAAGTTCCCTCGCGGCAGAGCCAATAATGGCTTTGTGTAAAAACAATGAGACCAAACACTAAAGCTTGTTTTGGAATTTAGACGCTCTGTTCAACAATCCAAATCTATAGAAATAAAATCTTTATGTAACGTTGCTGCAAACTGCAAATGTCTGCTGTACTAAAGTAGACCTGAATATGTCTGACAGATGCATCGAGTGAAGGCTAGAGAGCTGGAGGAGCTGAAGAGGAGTTACAAGGAAAGCATGGATGAGCTCGAGACTCTTCGCACCAAAGTATGTCTGTTAGATTAACTCTTAAACATCTGTGTGTGTGTGTGTGTGTGTGTGTGTGTGTGTGTGTGTGTGTGTGTGTGTGTGTGTGTGTGTGTGTGTGTGTGTGTGTGTGTACTTCTCTGTGTAACGAGGGGGTCTGGTGTCTCAGTTAAAGTGTCTAGAGGACGAGCGGCCGCGGTGGGAGGACGAGCTGACCAAATACAGGGAGATCATAAACCGGCAGAAGGCTGAGATCGGTCGCCAGAGAGGCGAGCTGGAAGAGGTCACGGCGCTTCAGGATCAGCATCAGCGGTACACCACGCCTCATCCTGGCCCAACGGGCTCATGTAAACTAATGTGTTAAAATGATAGCGGTAAAACAGGAGGTGAGCTCCTCCCAAGACTGAATAGTTGAGACTAATCGACAGATTTTTAGCCTTTACATTTTTCTGAGTTGATTGATTTTAAAAGTTTGTGCAGAAATCGAAAGGCCAGGGATTTATTTATGACACTCTGGTGTAGGCCTCTGCTGGCTATGTGGAGGTTTTATGGAGAGGTGGGACTCACGGCACACAGACCTGTCATTTTCAACCAATACAGATGCAGTGTGTGTGTGTGTGTGTGTGTGTGTGTGTGTGTGTGTGTGTGTGTGTGTGTGCGCGCGCACGCGTACACCGCATACCCACTGTAGCATGAACAATATAAGCCAATGAATTGGGTTGGATAGCAGTGTACTTAGACTGTTTTTTGTCTAAAAAGAAGTTTGTATCATTATGATTCATCTGAATCTTTGTTTGTCGATGATTTGCATAATTTTAGATTATAAATGTATTTTATATCACTGAAAGGTGTATTACATCTAATTGAGGCTTCTTATGTAAAAGTAATAAAAGCAAAACTGACATTTTAGTGAATATTTCCATCTCTCTTTTGTTTAGGGACAAACAGGAGATCATGTCACTCCAGGAGGAGGTGGACGGTCTGACCAGTCAGATAGCTGACCTCCAGCGAGACGTTCTGGGCAGCAGGGAGCGCGAGGCCGAGTTACTTGGTTTCACCGAGAAGCTGAGCAGCAAGAACGCTCTGCTGCAGTCGGAGAGCAATGCGTTGCAGTCTCAGCTGGATCAGGTCACCAACAGCTTCACAGAGCTCCAAGGAAGGCTGGAGGAGACCAGCAGGCAGCTGGATGACAAGGTCAGGCTGCTCTGATTCTCAAAGACGCACCGTGGCCTCTTTGCACAGGGAAAAGGGAAACAAACCCGATTTTTAATAGACAAACACAAAAGGGTTAAATAGTTAAATAGTCTGAATCCGTTTTCTAGTATTTTAATTTTAAAGAGCATTTTATGTTACAAAATATGCCAGAAACATTACTGATGAATCATTATCGTGCTAATAAATGCTTTTTGTCTCCACTTCTGCAATCATGCAGTCACGGCGGTTGAAACAGGAGGAGGTGCTGAGGCAGCAGGAGGTGCAAGCTCTGCAGGAGGAGCGGGCAGCTCTGCAGACTGAGGTGGCCAAACTAAAAACCAGGGTGGAGGAGCTGAGGGACGAACTGGTGACTCAGAAACGGAAACAAGCAGCCAACATCAAAGACCTCACCAAACAACTCACACAGGGTTTGTCAGATACACACCATCACTTGAACTCTGGTTTTCTGACAGTTTTCATAAAGCTAAGCTATTTGAACAAGCCTCTCACTTTCTCTCTAAGCATGTTAGACGTTTCCTCGTCATAGCTGTATATTTTATCAGTAGAATCACTGCATCAGACTCTTTTCACAGTTGTCATTCACACTTATACAGACAACAAGTCTGGTGAGATCCCGACGCATAAGCAGCCGTCCTTTTGAGTATTGAGGAACAAATGTTGCAGATTTCTAGTGTTTTCTTTGGTTATCTCGCCGTGATGTGTCTGGAACAGTGCTGGGCTGTGGTGCTTGTGTGAAAGCAGTTGTGGATTCATTGATACGGTTTCGTTTTGTTTCCCTTGCAGCTCGTAAGAGGCTGGAGCAGGTTGAGAACGGAGGGTGTGACCGGGACGCCAGCAGCATGGGCAGTCGCTCCAGTTCCTCAGGTACTACTCTGAGATTTGGTTAGTATTTAACACTTCATTTAAACAAAACTCTCCTTTTTCAATATTTCATGTATTCTTTAGATTTCAGGTGATATTTGTTTCTTGTTTTGTAAAGGCTGCACAAAAAGGAACACCATTTTGTGAGTTAATGTCCATCTTTATCCTCTCGGCCCCACAGGTTCCTTAAACACTCGCCACGGTGGGAGCAGTAGCGTTGAGGAGCGCTCACCGGAGAGCCAATCGGGTCCCTCTGTGATGGTTGTGGACAGCTTCCCCGAGGTGGACAAGGCCGTGCTGGTGGAGCGCATCGTCCGCCTGCAGAAAGCTCTGGCACGAAAGCAGGAAAAGATCGAGTTCATGGAGGATCACATCAAACAGCTGGTGGAAGAAATCCGGAAGAAGACAAAGTGAGTCCGTCCTGAGTGAATGCAAACACTATTTTACTATCCGAATAAATCTACTGAAATCAGTTTGACTTCTGAGTTGAGATGTTTCAATCCTCTCAGGTAAAAACGTGTTGAAACGCTTGTGGAAATGCTAGAAATTCAGAGTTTCAGACCCTACGGTGGTTTTTATTGTAACAGTAGTGCTGGAATAACACCAGTTTCCCTGCAGGAGCACTAAAACTATTTCTGTGATCTGCCCTTTGAAAACGAACAAACCCTCATGCGATAACATCAGCAGTCACTCCTGGTTAACTCTGAAGTGAGGCGCTTGCTGTTGTGTGTTCAACTAAACTTGTTTAAAGGTTCACATTTCTTCCCCGAACATTAAAAAGCATCCCTGGGCATAACTACCCCCCCCCCCCCCCCACACACACACACACACACACACACTTAATCGCTCCCCTTCATCTCTTCCTGTTACTTCCAATCATCTTGAGGTTATAATTAATGTAATCATCACCCTAAACCTTCTTCAGCTATTTATAACCTTGTTGATCAAGAGCTTATTTATTTATTAAACTATATTAGAACTAAGGAGCAGAAGGCTTTCTGTTGAATCTTAACAAAGCGTTCATGTGATTAACACAAATGTCAGAAAACGACGTGACGCAGCTTGTTTGTTTAACCAAATGTTTATATAACGTCTTGAATCTCACCTCAGATTTCTTGCTTTTCTGCACTCAGATCCATTAGACTCAACCTACATTTAGGAGTTAAAATCGAGGACGAATCCCACGGTTCAGGGCTAAATTTAGCTCATCAGAATCTCTGAAAAGCCCGGGGGGGTGTTACGCCACCCCGTGTATGGATGTTGGCTTGTCCTTTTGCCTCTGTCCGTATTCTTGCAGGACAGTGTGGTGAACGCTGACGAGCCTCGCTGTAAGCCCGAGTCAGGCGGCGAGGCTAATGCGCTTTTGGTTTTAAACAACTTCTGTCATATCCATCAGAGCTTTTGCACTGATGAATATTTTTGCCTTTAAAATTTGACATCTGACAAATTTAATGTCGATTCTAGGTTATTGTAGAATTTGGCAATTCCAATCACAAGCCAGTTTATTAGGTACATCCTTAAGTCGTTAGAACTCGATTCCTCGTGTCATAACTTCAACAGGGGTGTTAGACATGTCCCTCAGAGGTTCCTGTCCGTATTGACATTCCTACCTGAGAAGTGTGACACCTGCTTTCGTCCTTTTTTATCCTCCGTCTAAAAAAGGTCAAACCATCTTCCTCACCTCAGAATTTATTGAGTTGCTGTCATGTGATTGGATGGTCATACATTAGTGTGAATAAGCAGGTGTAAGTGTCTTTAATAAAGTGGCCAGTGAGTGTGTATTCTGCTCCAGTTAAAGCTGTTTAAAGAATCTAATCTCACAGGTTTGATACATTTAGAATTAAGAGAAAATGCTTCTGCATCTTTGTGTTCGATTAAGAAGTCAAAGACAGATGGCTACCAGGCTCACATCATGTTTTGGCTCATTTGTTACAAATTAAAGGTATTTAAATGAGCCAGAGCACTCAGGAAAGAAGAAAAAAGCCATCCTTCAAGGGCAACGTCAATAATAAATCTCATTTGGCCTATTTAGGTGTCTGTTCTGTAAATAGAGGAAGTTTAACAAGATTCACCAAGATCTCTCCTCATTCATCTAAAATGTCCACCACAAACCTCCATGAATTCAAATTTAATTAACTGTAAATCTGTAGCTCTAGCCTTTTATATCTTTTCTTTCTGTCTTTACACATTTGCATGGGACAGGTTTTACCTCCTTATGCATGTTTGTCTTGCTGCCTTCATTCTGAAACAAAAGGTGTTGTTGTCACTTTAATAAGAGAGCATCTTCCTTAAATCTTTACCTCCTGCTGACGTCTGCATGGCATCCAGCCTCATCATCTCGCCACATTTTTAATTTCTGTCACTTTTTGTTTTTACTAAACACCTTCGTGATGGATTGGGGTCCAAATATGGACCCTTAAGACTCTAGTCAGAGGTAAGTTTCATTCACGTCTGTTGTAGCCCAGGTGTTTGGTATGTATGTATGTATGTATGTGTGTGTGTGTGTGTGTGTGTGTGTGTGTGTGAGGACAATTTATGGTGGTGGCTTCTTTTTGTAGTGTTTATGTAGCTACTTTTCATCTTTTAGCCCATTTCTGCTTTGGTAGTTCACCATGAACTCCCTGCATTATGGCTGCTAGATGGTTGTAGATTTAAGAATAAAGAATAAAAACTAAATTATCTAGACTAAATATCTATTTGGTAAGGGAACGACACGTTTTTCTCACTCAGACTGCACATGCATTTGACAACAAGATCATTTAACGTGCATGTTGGATCTGATGCTCCTTAGATCTAAGTGCACTGGTTGGTGGTGGTTTTAAGTTGTGCTGCATGTGAAGCACAATCTGCTTGATTCATTTATTCAAATTTAAATAAACAGTTTTCTTTTAAAAAATAGCATGCAGGTGTGATGAAGCCTCTGCGTCTTGCTAAACCAGTGGTTCTCAGTTCTGGTCCTGGAGGGCCAGTATCCAGCATGTTTTAGTGGTTTCTCTGCTCTATCACACTAAAACGCTAAACCTTCACACTAGATTGCATTTTGAGTTTTTTTGCCCACATCAACGGCCAATGCAGTATAAACAGGGCAGATTTTCTGTCTAATTGATAGCTTGGTTTTGGTTTCTGTTTTCTTGTCCACAGCAGCAGTACTAGTCCATGGAGTTGTAAATTTGTTATGGTTTTAACATTCCAGGCTTTTTAAAAAGGAAATTAATCAGAAAGTTCAGCTTTGAAATTACAAATGATTTTTATTATTTTTCATGTGTCACCCCTAAACATCTGCAGACCTTCCTCCTGCAGGTTACATATAAATGGAGTTTTGATTCAAATTTGACTCGTTATTCTAATGGTTCATGTAATCGAACTGCAGCGTTGACATTCCTTCGTCTGTAGGAGGCGACACTGAGACTACTCCTCTAGAGGAATTTAGGGAGGTTGCTCCGACTCATACAGGTCAGAACATGCCCTCAAGACCGGACGTGAAAGTTCCCTTCCTCATACTAAACTTGAAGATAATCAGATTTTTTTTCTAGCTAGTTTCTCTTGAAGTTTTGGTTTCTGAATTACAGCTGAAAAAAAAACTTCTATACTAGTAATAATCTAAAATCTCATTTATTAAAGGGAAAGTTCCTTATTAGCTTCTCCATTGTATGCAGTGTTACTCCTTCCCCCACCTAAACTGGCAAGCCATCCTATATGTATAAATAAATAGTCTGGCCACGACCCATAGAATGATCGCAGTCATGAGGCAGGCTCTATGGTTGTCTTTCAAACTGTCTCCACATGCTGTTGGACAGCGAACAGCGTGACATACTCACTGCTACAGATGTCAGTCAATACACCATCAAGGAAGACGCAAATGCATCTTTTTCTTACATCAAGTTAAGTACCTCTGTCTGCTCTTGGCTCAGTGGAAAGCCCAGGTCTAAATAGTCCAACGCTGATGCCAAAGCCATTTCAAACAAGCCACTGTCATCTCTGTTCCACTCCATCGCAGCTCTGGTGCTAATCCCACCCACCAAACAGTGCTGTGATTGGCCCAGCAAACCGACAGAGCGTAGTGATTGGTTAGACGCAAAACTGCTGAGGCTCCTCTGAGACTGGCTAGACCGACCTGCAGAGCAAAATCCTTTTGTTCTCCTACGGTCTGTCTAGATTTAGGCTAGCCCCTCACCACCACCCCACCCACCTCCTAACATTAATGAACAGAGTTCAGGCTGGTTGTCTCACATTAGAGTTTAGTTTGTTCAGGTTAGAGCAGATTTAAAATCCTGATTCTTAAAGAATTTTAAGTGCAGGAGTTTTGCTGCCGTAGAACTGATTGATACTTATACATTTCTTTTCACAGTTTTTGTAAATTAAAGAACAGACTTGCAAATTTAAAAGCTTTGCTGTTCCAACACCTAATTGAAAAGGTTTGATTTAATCTTTTGATCATCCTCACTCCTGGGTCCCACATACAGACCGAATGAATGGCTTTCACACACAGGCTTATGTACCTTAATCATTTTTCAGCTGTGGTTAAAGATCCATCAGGAAGCCTTTGATGAATATGAATCAGATTTGATGCTGTGTCTGGATTTAGTTTCCTCTAAATAGAAACAGTTTGTTCTTCTGTCTGCAAGGAGAAACCGAAACAACAGGAAGTTCAGTGTTAAATGAATGGATTGTTTTTCTGTCTCTTTCTCTTACACAGATGTGGCTCTACCCTCCAACACTAGGTTGTTATGGAGATGAGAACACGCCGTCCACATGAAGATTTGTCTTGTTTTCTCTCCCAAACAGCAGCTGATTAAATGAACACTGCAGACCATTATAATTCAGCAGTTTTCATTACTTCCCCTCCTGTGACAGCAACAATAATAATATTTCTAAGTATGACTAAATGGCTGCAGCGTGCACGGCCACAACAATCCACCCCTCCAGGAATTGCCATTCCTGGAACGTTCGCTGCGTTTTGCTGCTGAAAATGGTTTCTCGCTCCATAAAAGCTCTCCATGCTCCCCAGCCACGAAGCCCCGCTCTCTGAATGTTCTCTGCTTAGCCGTCTCCAGCTGATACTCAGTTTGTTTCTTCTCCTTTTTGAAGCATAACTCTTGGCTCATCCTCCCATCCCTCCCTGTCCTGTTGCTGTCCACAGAATTATCCAGAGCTATGTGCTAAGAGAAGAGTCAGGGGCTCTCTCATCAGAGGCGTCAGACATTAACAAGGCCCACCTGAGCCGGCGCGGGGGCATCATGGCTTCTCTATACACCTCCCACCCTGCGGACAGCGGGCTGACCCTGGACCTGTCACTGGAGATTAACAGGAAGCTGCAGGCTGTGTTGGAGGACACGCTGCTGAAGAACATAACTCTGAAGGTAATGTGTCCCCCAGCGGGTATCAATCCTCTGAGCTGCCCTGATGTAAAATCTGATTGAAATTCTTTGATAGTTTGATAATGTGAGCAGATTCCTTCAAGGTGAGGGAATGGATAAGTGATTTGTTGTGCCGGCCTTAACCTTGGAACCTGTTGTGATGTCACCACCCACCCCCCTCTGAATGTCTCTGTATCACACCCCCCAGTGCTTTTAAATAATCATCTGCAACAGAAATGCATCAGGTGGACTGAGGCACAGGTGGGAGTTAAACTCTGAGTTATAGTAATTTGGTTGTTTTTAAGGTAGATGAGCAGCAGCTGCCATCTTTAATCACGTTGAATCTAAAAGTGAACCAGTTATTGGTTTGTGAGATAGCATGCGATGACTCCAATTAAGACTCTTATCCCATTGGTCATTTAATTTTGTGTCCTGATAGTATTTAGTGCTAGCCTGGCCTGCCAGACTCCTCCTCTGTTTAATTCTGCACAGAGAAAGAAGCTTTAGGCTTTTAGCGCTTCTACTTGTTGTGGTTTTAAAGACATTCAAGTCATTTAGAACAGAGGAAAGAGCCTCAGCGAACTCCGCTTCAGTCGCCGTGTTTATGACATACTTGGTGTTATGGTGTGTGACGTACGATACCCAGCACTGATTGGCTCGGTTGGAATTCTAAGGGGGTGGGGTTATTTGAATAGGAGAGTTCCCAGACCCTTCCTCTGTGCAGAATTAAGCGGAGGAGGAGTCTGGCAGGCCAGACTAATTTAGTGCATCTTCTGGGGAAGAGTTGGCTAAAATGAGGCTAACGCCTCAGACTTGTTCACACAAATAATAGATTTTATTTTAGATATTGTTCTGTTTAAAGGTTTGTGTTCAGTGTTAAAGGTGCACTGTGTACAAATTAAGTAAGATTGACATCCAGTGTACTGCAGTCCATTTTTTAAGCACATGAGTGAGTTTCATGCCAGCTGCAGTTACAGATCAGCACCAGAGGATTCTTGATGATGACAAAAACAAGTAAGCTGATAAGTAGATGAATACGTCTTACTGAAAAATTAGCTTGAGATATTTTTAGATCCAACTATTTGCTTCTAACTCATGGTTAGCATTGTTAGCTCAACATTAGCCTCTGGCCTTCTTTACCTGATGTTAGGGTAAAACTAAAGGATGCCGTGGCTTCTTAGGGTACAAGAAACAACATCTGGGTTGCTCCTATTTACTGGCTTTGGTTCTTTACAAAACAGTGGTTTTGCCAGTCGGTGTGGAAACTACAAATGGAACTTTTTGAATTTGCTAGATTCATTCAATTTAACTCAATGGGTATCGTCCTCAACTCATGCCAGGGGTCACACCCTGGACCTGGTTCTCTCTTTTGGTCTCCCTGTCATGAACCTTGTGACTTTGCCTCCTGTGTTCTCTGACCACTCTCCAATACTCTGTGATGTTACGTTGCCATGTCCTGTCCCTGTGTGTGAAGCTCCCGCTACTAGGTTCAGAGCCCTGGATGCAGAAACTGTTTCAAAGTTTGTGGACTGTATGTCTGTAAGGTTAGAGACCTTTAACCCAGATCCATCTAACAACACTATTCACAACACTTTGATTTACTTTGTAATCAGGTCCTGGACGTGGTTGCCCCTCTCAAGCTTTGCAAGTCTAGGCCTAGGAGGGAGACCTTGGCTCTCTGATGTCACACAGGCTTGTAGGCGGGCATGTAGATCCTCTGAGAGAAAGTGGAAAAAGGATGGCCTACAGGTCTCGCGTGAGTTGTTCAGAGCATCTTTGGTTGCTTATCAGGACGCTGTGAGGGCTGCCAGAATGGCCTATTTTGCAGACATTATTAATTTGTAATTTGAATTGCTTTTATTTTAGATTTATTCACCATATTTAACTTTATCATGTACTATGTTAAGCGCTTTGGGCTTCCTGACAGGGTTGCAGAAGGCGCTTTATAAATAAAGCTTTGATTGATTGATTGATTGATTCCACTCCAATCCAGTTGGTGGCGGTAATGCACCAAATTATTATTTGCCAAGTGCCGTAAGACCACAAATAAGAAGAAGAGAGGTGCGAGCGTTTGTAACAAACTCGAAGCGGTAGTCAAAACATTAAGCATGAAATGGAGTTATCCTCGTGGCTCCAATAAGAGAAAGAGGCAGCTTGCGCCATAAAAGCTTTTATCTTCACTTCCGAAAGTTGCATCGTTTTTCTATGTAAACATCAAAAGAAAGCAGAAAGACAATAGAAAATGTTTAAAGGGAGGAAAACATAGACCAAAATGAAAAATTAATAAAAAAAAAAAAAAGAAGAGGCAAAAGCACAGGAGCACTGACAGAAAGAAGAAAGCAGAGCAAATATTGAAAGCACTCAAAGGGAGAGAAATACAGGAAGAAAGAGGACTAATAAAAAGGGAGAATAACTCATGGCATAAGAAGGGAGAGTTTCGCAAATCCAGTTAAATATAAGATTGCCGAAATTTAGTGTCTGTGTTCGCCTTGGGCCCCCAAATTGCTAAATCCGCCTGTGCTTTGCAACAATCCCCAGGTGATGGAGAAGTCAGAAAGTTAAATGTGTCCATCCGTGTGTGTCTCTCCCTCGTGGAGAATCAGGCTTAAAGGAAGCTCGCACAGGACCACTTTTCTATGGCTCGTTATGTTTCCCCTCCTTTTCTTCCCTCCTCTACTTGTCTCCTCACGTTTACACACACACACACACACACACACACACACACACACACACACACACACACACACACACACACACAAAGTTATCACCTTCCTAGGGCTTTTTGATGAACATCATCTAAACTCTTCCTCTGTTCTGTCATTTTTCTTGACAGTCGATCCAAATAAGCATTTAAACAAAATCACTGACATGTTGACGTTCAAGCTGCCGCTGTGTGATCATTTACTGGGAACTTATCTTTTCTCACCTTGTTGTGTTTTGCATCTTATGTGACAAACTTCTGCAACAATGAAGACGGGCAGCTATGTTAAAGTGGTATTAATCTATCAGAAGTCAAATCTGATCAGGAAGCGTAAAAATGTAGTGAAGCAGCACTTTCCTTCAGTCATAGCCGGTTTTAGACGCCCTCTTTGTCCTTGTCTTGTTCGTGTGAATTGTGGCTGTGTGAGACCTTTTAGGTGAAAAGGCTGACTCTGTAAGGACGTTTATCCCCTCGGCTTCCACACCATTGTATAAACCGGTGTTACAAAGGGTGTCGTTCCTTAAATCATGGTGACAGGCTGACAGAGCATTAATGGGAAAATGACCCATGTGTGAATGACTTAATGCTGTCACTTTCATTAGATTGATGAAGCCATTAATGTTTCATATATGGCACGTGAAAAAGCGCGATTTGTGGTCGTTAACATTTAAAATAGTTCTTCCAAATGAAAAGATTAAAACACGTATCCCAGAGAGTTCTTCTGTGGACGAGAGGACTCCTCATTTGGTGTTTTATAAATAATGTGCTCTGTAAATTAGCTGAGCTGTTAGAGCTCTGCCAAAATGCAGAGATGCTTGTTTGTGAAGCTGATTTCAGCTCTTTTCTGGGTTTTTAGCCTCTGTAGGAGAAACACCTGCTACTTCTCTTTCACCTTAGATCTGTTCTCATTCTAACAATTGAGCTCGGCTTTTTAGTCCTCACACCCCCATCAGCCCAAGAGACGGCAGGATCCCTGGATGATTCTGTTCATGCGGAATAATAATGTAAAGTTACTTTGGTCCTGCAAAGTGTTCGTACTGATGCATCACAGCCAAGCTTCTCATTCAGAAGTAGCTTCATTTATGATCCTCCTCTACAGATGTTTGCATAATTACTAATAATCTGGAAAATATGTAGCTCTCCCGACATCTGCCTGTTTGTAATTTATTTAAATATTTAATTAAAACATCATTCACTTAATCTAAACCACCTTTTTTCATTCATTCTGCTGTTTTTCTAAACTTTAAAGTTATTTATTTTTTTCCCATCAGGAAATAAATTAGATCAAGTTCCAAATTTATAATGTTATTTAGTGTTTTTGGAGATAAAACTGATATTTTTTCAGTGTATTTTATGTCAAAGACCCCAGAGTGGGAGCTTTATTCATGTGTGTTTTATGGTGATGTGAGGGCTAAAGGACAGATATACAGTGGTGGTCAGAAGTTTACATACACTTGTAAAAAATATACTGAGTGTCCCGTTATTTCTAAAACTCTGATTTTTCTCTGATAGAGTGATTGGAACAGATACTTCTTTGTCACAAAAAACATTCATGAAGTTTGGTTCTTTAATGTCTTTATTATGGGTTAACAGAGAAAAGTGATCACATTTGCTGGGTCACAAATATACATACAGTAGTGCTAATATTTGGTTACATGTCCCTTAGCCATTTTCACTTCAATTAGGCGCTTTTGGTAGCCATCCACAAGCTTCTGGCAAGCTTCTGGTTGAATCTTTGACCAATCCTCTTGACAGAATTGGTGAAGTTCAGTTAAATTTGATGGCTTTCTGACATGGACTTGTTTCTTCAGCACTGTCCACATGTTTTCAATGGGGTTTAAGTCAGGACTTTGGGAAGGCCATTCTAAAACCCTTATTCTAGCCTGATTTAGCCATTCCTTTACCACTTTTGATGTGTGTTTGGGGTCATTGTCCTGTTGGAACACCCAACTGCGCCCAAGACCCAACCTTCGTGCTGATGATTTTAGGTTATGTTGAAGAATGTGAAGGTAATCCTCCTTCTTCATTATCCCATTTACTCTCTGTAAAGCACCAGTTCCATTGGCAGCAAAACATCCCCACAGCATAATATTCCCACCACCATGCTTGACTGTAGGCATGGTGTTCTTGGGGTTAAAGGCCTCACCTTTTCTCCTCCAAACATATTGCTGGGCATTGTGGCCAAAAAGCTCGATTTTCGTTTCGTCTGACCACAGAACTTTCCTCCAGAAGGTCTTATCTTTGTCCATGTGATCAGCAGCAAACTTCAGTCGAGCCTTAAGGTGCCGCTTTTGGAGCAAGGGCTTCCTTCTTGCACGGCAGCCTCTCAGTCCATGGAGATGCAAAACACGTTTGACTGTGGACAATGACACCTGTGTTTCAGCAGCTTCTAATTCTTGGCAGATCTGCTTTTTGGTGATTCTTGGTTCACTCTTTACCCTCCTGACCAATTTTCTCTCAGCAGCAGGTGATAGCTTGCGCTTTCTTCCTGATCTTGGCAGTGATGAAACAGTGCCATGCACCTTATACTTACAAACAATTGTTTGCACTGTTGCTCTTGGGACCTGCAGCTGCTTTGAAATGGCCCCAAGTGACTTTCCTGACTTGTTCAAGTCAATAATTTGCTTTTTCAGATCCATGCTGAGCTCCTTTGACTTTCCCATTGTAGCGTTTGTGGGCGTTTGTATCCAATGAGCCCTATTTACCTGGCCTAGGAGAAGTCACCAGCTGTAGTCACTCATAATCACTCACAAGAAGTTAAGAGGCCATGCTATGAAGCTCAGTTCACTGACACGTTTCTAAGTCACCAAAATTGCTAGTTCATGTTGCTGTATGTATATTTGTGACCCAGCAAATGTGATCACTTTTCTCTGTTAACCCATAATAAAGACATTAAAGAACCAAACTTCATGAATGTTTTTTGTGACAAAGAAGTATCTGTTCCAGTCACTCTATCAGAGAAAAATCTGAGTTTTAGAAATAATGGGACACTCAGTAGAGCCATTATATTATATTTTTTATAAGTGTATGTAAACTTCTGACCACAACTGTAACCCAGTGTTAAAGGACAAGGCTCCCATTTGCTTTTTATACCTTCCAGGTTTGAGTTGGTGTGAAAAATAAAAATATCAAAACACTTAATTCCATTTTGACCTATTTATAGTTCACATATGAACACTTTAAAGCATATTAAGTGTAACTTTTTTGATCATTAGTGCAAACGCAAAATTTTGAAATTTTTTCTTGAATTAAATAAGTTCACTCAAAGGTTACCGCAGTTGCAGCGGTATCTAGTATAAATGGAAGTCTGGTGTGTCTGTCTGAGTGGGGAAAACTCTGTTGTTCCTGTTTGAGGAACTAGACGTTAGCCAGAGGGATAGGGTGCAGAGAATGAAAGGTTTTGGGTCTAATTTCTTGATATTTGGATATCTCTCCTCTGATTGGCTAACAGTTGGCTTCTACTAGTCGAGAGATGCTCTGCCCGACCCAGCCCGTCCGCGTTCATTCCACTCTGCCGTAGGAATAAGGACGTGATTGAGCACATGGGCAGTCTGTGGTGTCATAAACGCATCTCCGAGCACGTGGGCGGGGCAAAAGTGCGCAGAGAAGTCTTTGACTTCACGGTGTCTCCATTATTAAACAAAAGTGGCCTGAGCAGCCTTGCTCTTGGAAACTCTCTGGCTCTGATTTTGCATCCTGCTTTGCTGTGTCTGGCAGCCTTGTGTGTGTGCGTGTTTTACTCACAGCAGTGTGTGTGTGCGCGTTTGTGCCTCCTCACAACAGTGAGAGACAGAGAAAAACTGCTTCAGTCAGGCTCGTTAACTCCACAGCATCCAGAATATAAATAACCGCGCATGCGGGAAGCCCCCGTGGGCTGATTCAATCTGCCAATCGGAGGCTCCCCCTGGAGCCAGCCAATCAGTCAGCAGTGGGCATGTTGGACCTGTTCAGCCTCAGGCAAACCGCCTCGGGAAGAAGGCTGAAAGACGTCCAGTGCACGTGAGAAAATCCAAAGCTACCTAAATGAAAACACCCGGTCCAGGCAGAGTAGAGCTGATGCTAGTGTGTAAGGGCCATAAATCAACAGCATCCTTCTCTGTCGTGAGTCCATGACTGCTAATTTCACAACACAATGTGCAATTGTCAGGCTTTGCTGACCCTAGCATTTCCCATCATATTTTCTACTGGCATCTGATGCAGGAAGTAGTTGTAAATGACTACATGTTTAGCCTGCATGCTAAACTCATATTTCAAAAAGAACAAGTAAAAAACAGTTTCCCAGCGAACTTGATTTTTTTAAACAAAAATGCTGATGCTTTTCTGTTAAGATCAAGCCTCCCTGAATAACAGCTGACCAAAGTCAAACAGAAAAAACTGTTAAAGAATCAGATCAGGGTACTGAGTCTGAGATTAAATGTTTAAAATGTACTAAAGCCCCATCTACACTGCTCTAGATATGAAATAAGTTCATGTTCCACCCCCACACCTAATGATTTTTAGTGAGAATGTTTTTTTAACACTTTCCTAAGTGGCCACTCCACGTGGATGAGCGTTTTAGTTATAGAAATGACCAAATATCTGGAACAATAATCATTATCGTTGGTTTTTCTGTCTATAGGTCTTTCTCAAAAAATTAGCATATTGTGATAAAGTTCATTATTTTCTGTAATGTACTGATAAACATTAGACTTTCATATATATTAGATTCATTACACACAACTGAAGTAGTTCAAGTCTTTTATTGTTTCTAATATTGATGATTTTGGCATACATCTCATGAAAACCCCAAATTCCTATCTCAAAAAATTTGCATATTTCATCCGGACAATAAAAGAAAAGTGTTTTCAATACAAAAAAAGTCAACCTTCAAATAATTATGTTCAGTTATGCACTCAATACTTGGTCGGGAATCCTTTTGCAGAAATGACTGCTTCAGTGCGGCGTGGCATGGAGCCCATCAGCCTGTGGCACTGCTGAGGTGTTATGGAGGCCCAGGATGCTTCGATAGCGGCCTTAAGCTCATCCAGAGTGTTGGGTCTTGCGTCTCTCAACTTTCTCTTCACAATATCCCACAAATTCTCTGTGGGGTTCAGGTCAGGAGAGTTGGCAGGCCAATTGAGCACAGTAATACCATGGTCAGTAAACCATTTACCAGTGGTTTTGGCACTGTGAGCAGGTGTCAGGTCGTGCTGAAAAATGAAATCTTCATCTCCATAAAGCTTTTCAGCAGATGGAAGCATGAAGTGCTCCAAAATCTCCTGATAGCTAGCTGCATTGACCCTGCCCTTGATAAAACACAGTGGACCAACACCAGCAGCTGACATGGCACCCCAGACCATCTCTGACTGTGGGTACTTGACACTGGACTTCAGGCATTTTGGCATTTCCCTCTGCCCAGTCTTCCTCCAGACTCTAGCTCCTTGATTTCCGAATGACATGCAAAATTTGCTTTCGTCTGAAAAAAGTACTTTGGGCCACTGAGCAACAGTCCAGAGCTGCTTCTCTGTAGCCCAGGTCAGGCGCTTCTGCCGCTGTTTCTGGTTCAAAAGTGGCTTGACCTGGGGAATGCGGCACCTGTAGCCCATTTCCTGCACACGCCTGTACACGGTGGCTCTGGTTGTTTCTACTCCAGACTCAGTCCACTGCTTCCGCAGGTCCCTCAAGGTCTGAAATCGGTCCTTCTCCACAATCTTCCTCAGGGTCCGGTCATTTCTTCTCGTTGTGCAGCGTTTTCTGCCACACCTTTTCCTTCCCACTGAGGTGCCTTGATACAGCACTCTGGGAACAGCCTATTCGTTCAGAAATGTCTTTCTGTGTCTTACCCTCTTGCTTGAGGGTGTCAATGATGGCCTTCTGGACAGCAGTCAGGTCGGCAGTCTTACCCATGATTGCGGTTTTGAGTAATGAACCAAGCTGGGAGTTTTTAAAAACCTCAGGAATCTTTTGCAGGTGTTTAGAGTTAATTAGTTGATTTAGATGATTAGGTTAATAGCTCGTTTAGAGAACCTTTTCATGATATGCTAATTTTTTTAGATGGGAATTTGGGGGTTTCATGAGCTGTATGCCAAAATCATCAATATTAGAAACAATAAAAGGCTTGAACTTCTTCAGTTGTGTGTAATGAATCTAATATATATATGAAAGTCTAATGTTTTTCAGCACATTACAGAAAATAATGAACGTTATCACAATATGCTAATTTTTTGAGAAGGACCTGTATATGAATAAATCTGATTTTGTTGTTGTTGAACTTTAATCATGTGGGATGGACAAATCAGAGAGAAAAGCACGTTTTTAAAAGAACTATTTAAAAAGTTGGTCCCCAGGAGAGATGCCGGGCCGCGGCACGAGCAGGTAGCAATAGTTGTTACTTCATCCAGCCAATGAAAGGCTTTCCTTTTTATTGATGAAGGTTAATAAGATGTAGTTCTAAAACAATTGAAACTCATTTCTGAGTGGGAATCATCAGGGTGTTTAAAATATGAATTATGTAGGTATCAGGGAGCTTTATCTTTGCACAGAAAAGTCATTCTCCACCCTTTTTAAAGAGTCGTGTCTGATCTGCAGCAACTGTGGAGAGCAGATGAAATATTTAAGTTATTGTGCTCATAAAGAGACACCTTCTGCCTTTGTTTAACCACAATGACTGGGTCTGTTGGAGAGAAACTCCCCACAGGAGCGTCTGACCGAAGCTGCAAAGTGTGACAAAGTGAGTGGATTTTCTGTCAGACCTGTCTGTGAATGAATGAAAGCTGACTGACATGAAACTGAATTTAATGATGGGGGAAATCTTTCACTCTAGGAACAACAAAGTCTCAGTAATAAGCTAAAAATGGCTCGGTGTAATTTGTTTACTGAGGAACAGAACACCAGTCACTCATGGATGCTTCTGTTTCTGTCCATCTCTCCTCTCCAGGAGAATCTACAGACTCTGGGGTCCGAGATCGAGAAGCTCATAAAGCAGCAGAGGCCTCCCCAGGATGGAGTCAGGACCAAGTGACACAAACCTGAGGACAGTCTTGTTGATCCACACCTCATGAGGGAATAAATGTGTAGAACGTGCCAGAGGCACACGAACTTGCTTCCATGCCTATTTTCTCTGTTTTAAAACCCCAACGACTCACTCTTACTGCTCCCTCTAAGTGTCACCAACTAGACTACTTAAAGTCCACGCTGACGATCATTAAGAACTGATTTGATCCTTGCCAGCACGTTTTTCTTCCCATCACATGAAGGCTTTTTTTTAGGTTCTGAATGGATCTGAACCTCGTTGTTTTTTTTTTACCACCTATTTATTTATTTTTCTCTGCAAAGCACTTACGAGCAGGCTGGTGGAGCGAGGTGCCTCCCATCAGTGGGCTCACCCGTCTGTGTGGCACAGGTGCTACATTTCAGGAAGCATCTTGGTAATGCTCCCTGCAGCCATCTGTGGGAAAGTACCTCCAGCTACGTATAGTCTGGGTCTCTGAAACAAATCTAAGGTCTTTAGTTCTGCTAAACTGAATGTATTTTTCCCCTTCAAGTTGATTTAATATAATTTTTTTTTTAAATAAAGCCTCAGAGTTTTATTTTTAATAGTGATTTATTATTTAGATTTTTTATTTGGAGGTCTTAACGTAAACATTTAAGTCTTCTTCCCCCTTGCAGATGGCATTATTACAAACAGCAGCTAGAGGGGAGAGAAGACTAAAATGTTCAAATATGTGTCTACACTCCTCTTTATTTGTGTTTTGTAGCATCACTGAGACCGTAGAGGTGAAAAATGATCGACTCATAAAGCTGAGCGCAGGTTTGCAACTGTAGCTCAGGAAAGTAAATGGAAAAATATCCAGGGATAAAGTGCAATGTTGCTCCATTACTTCACTTTTTGTTTTCTTCATTCTGAATGAGTTTGTGTGCCAGTAAACCGTTTTTGTGCAACATGAACCCTGCTGGTGTTTTGAGTATTTAAAAAAAACGTGTGCATGGCTGCATGTGTGCCTTCTCCATCGCTCCTCAGGAGGAAGTCTTTGCTCCTCACTGAAGGATGTATGCTCTTAACACTTGATAGAAGAGAGAGAGAGAATACCACATTTCCTTTCTCTTCATTTGACCCGATTTGCAGAAGCTGTCCGAAAACAATGTCTTATTTCTGCGTAACCATTCATGATGGACCCATTCCTCTTGCCTTGCACCCCGAGGTAATGCAGAGGAGGACCGCTACGTGAATAAAGATGAAAGTGTCCGCTATTGAGGTCACACAGATCTTAAAGCCTCTGCTGCAGCGGCGAGTGCTTGGCATTTGAAGGAACTCTACTTTTATTGCATCCAAGTCGACTTCTTCACCAAATGGGATCAGTTTGTAAAACTGCAGCCGGCAAAGAGCTGGAGATTTCACTTTTGTCCGCTCCTCAAGAACAAAAAACACAACTGATCTCACATTTAGGTTCTATCTAAGTGAGTTGGTCATTTCAGAGATGAATTCTTGTACCTCCTTAAATCAAACCGGAGCTTTTTGATGCCGAATGTTCCGTGTTGTCTCCGGTTCTTCTGCCAAACGCTCGCACAGGACATCCTAATTCAGTCTCTAATTCTCCAAAGTATTCTAATGCTTTCACCCAAATCAGGCCGAGTTGCTTTATCCAAGATTTGCTGCGTTCCGCGGCCGTGAAACCAAGCCACGCTGCAGCTTTGTGTGGATGAATGAACCAAATCCTTTAAGTATGAAGAAAAATTCAGCATGTGCTGATATGTAAAAACAACAAAAGATGAAACAAGTATGTATCATGTTGCTGCTGTGATGAATGAATCCCTTCAGCTGTTCAGACTGTGATTATTTGTAAATATGTCATTCTGTAAAATGATGAAACGTTTTTTTTAAACTGGATCGTGTTTGTACATATGTGTTTCCAGGGAATAAAAGGAGTTGATTGTTAACTCCGTCGCTCCACTGCAGTCTTGTTACATGTTCTTTTGGGAGGTTTAGTTGAATTATGTTTTTGTCGTGTACAGAGATAACCTCTCCCCGTCTAAAAGCGGTAGCATCAGTGGATCGTGGCGGCTCTGTCGTTCAAACTCGGCAGACTTCGGGATGCTGCTCCTTCTGAAATCCAGAAAAAAAAAACGGCTCAAGAATGAAATTTTATTTTTGCCTTCAGGTAAAACAACAGTTTAAAACAAATCGGGTGTTAAAGTATGAATGTAATATTTCTGCTGCACTTGGTTGTTTTTGTTCTGATTTTCAAAAAATGCTTTTATTATGTAGAAGGGTAATTTGGGATGCATTCAAATGTTTTAAGTCATGAATGGTTTTCTTACAAGTTGCAGATAGGCTCCTGAACAGCCTCTGTTTGGAGAAATGGAGATCAACAGTGTTTCTTAAACAAAAATCTACCCGTTAAAAATAATCTGAGGTGTGTTTTATTTTACTTTGGATGGACAATATTCCAGTTGTTAAGGAGGAGGCAGGAATCTGAACTGGAACCAGCTAGAGCTTATTTTCTGGGCGGTGGCTCAGAGGTTAGGAGATTGCTCTGTGATTGGTGGGTTGCGGGTTTGCTCCTGTCGTGTTGTCAGTCGTGTCCTTGGGCAAGAGACCTCCCCTCATTAAGCCTAATTTATACTTATCTGTCTGCGTTGGGACGCAAGAACGGACGGAGTCCAGCTCGCTTTTCTAAACATTTGTCCGATGAGATGGAGAACGCAAGCTTGTGATTGGTCAGGACATCGCTGTCGTCAACAGCGCCACCATTGTGTCCTCAAAAACTTAGAGAGCCGAAGATATCTAGCAGCAGACACAAAGCAGCTTGACGAACCCCTCACAGAAAAACTATAAAATTATGAGCGTTTTATCCGCCCTGACTGGAGGAGTGAAAAGATGCACAGCAAGTGTTTTATTTGGGAAACATGGGTTTAGAGGTGGAGGAGAATGAGTGACATATTTGTCCATGTTAAAAAGTCTCTTAAATACAGAAATGCAATATGAACACAATAGTAAATGCACTGTCTTGGAATGGATACATGACAGGGTACCGCAGAACAGCGCTACTCCCTCTGTTGTCCTGGCAGGAAATTGCTTTGCAACACTTCCCAGGAGACGGAGAAGTCCGAAAGCAAAGCGTCTCCATCCGTGTGTGTCTCTCCCTCATGGAGCTGACGGAGAGGTATAAATTAGGCTTTACTGCTAGTGGTGGTTGGAGGGACTGGTTGTTGCCTCGCTACTTAGTGCACCCCAGGGCTGCTGTGGCTACTGTAGCTCATCATCATCAGTGTATGAAGGGATGAATTTGGAGTCCTCTGACTCTGAAAGCTGCTATACAAGTGCGGGTCATTTATCATTCATACTGCCTCGGTTTAAATTTCCAGCTTTTGCTTCTGCTTCCAGCCCTGGTCCCCCAGCCCTGCTGTCCAGCATGTGCTAAGACATTTTCACAATAAGAGTTTATTTCTGCTGGGTTGAATTGATGAACAGGAAATTCAACCACTGAATCAGGAGTGTTGGAGCAGGGAGACAACTAAAACATGCTGGATAGGGGCCCTCCAGAACCAGGGTGTCACCAAAATGCGTCTCTACAAACCATGGGTGCTTCTGAATGTCAAGGCGCCTGGCCTTGCGAGGCAACGAGGCCAGGCGCCTTGCTTACGAGGACACTGTCCTTCCTTGGTCAAAGAAAATTGTTAATTGGAACAGACTTGCATCACGTGACCGCGACTTCAACGGCGGTTACGTAATGAACGTGACACAGTAGATATTATATTTTATATGTATTAGTTTCAATTTAAATATGTAACGAGCCTTTTACTTTTTAAATAGTGTAAACAATTGTTAAATTAAATATATAAGCGAGTTACTGCCCGCTAGCCTCCAAATCTGCAACTAATAAGCAACTAACCAACCATAGATAACTTCTTTGGATCTAATAAAAAACATTTTAAATTAGTTGACTTACATTTAAACTTGAAATTTGCCCTCGAAGTAGCTGCCGGCTTTTAATCCACCATCTTTTTGAAAATATCAAGGTGTATTCTGGGTAATTTTTGACCAAGGCCGGGCTACAAGACACCTCCCGTGTATCTATGCTCAGCTAGCTAAACGGCTACCAAATGGAGAACTCGCGCCTTGGTAGAACATGAACATTGGAACACGTCTTGGCGGTTCCTGATTACGTATCTCCTAGGCAACCGAGGCGAGGCCAAGACATCAAGGCGAGGTTCCTTGGCTTGAGAAATATCCCAGGTGAGAACGTTTAATCGCCTCATTGGTCAGATGTATGTGGGGTGGAGCTACCACAAGTAATTCAGGAAGTCAAGTCACATCAAATTTATTTATATAGCACTTTACACAGCATAAAAGCTGACCAAAGGCTTAACAAGCCAAAACGAATGAAGGTAGAAGGTTCTGTTTGAAGCCAGTCAACATACTTCTCCCTGAACACTTTAGAAGATTTCCCTTATTGAGTTGTTTTTCAGAGCTAACAAATGTGCCCAAATATCAGTGAGTCAAAACTGATACACAAGCTCTTGGATTCTTTTCAGCTAGCCAGGAGCGACTTCATTTACCAGAATGTGGTGCATTCCTTGCATTGGGAGCTAATGAGCACAAACCTGGTATTTATGTCATGAGATGCTCAGAAGACCACCAGATGGTGCAGAAGCCTGTTGTGACTTCTTCATTCCACCCAGGTGTGTTGGACCTCGGGTCAGGGTCTGGTCCGGAAGCCTAATAAACACTCAGTGGTGCCACAGGACTTAAGGTGGAATTTATGATTGACGCTATTTAAATATTCCAATCAATTCTGGAGGTGACTCCATCCTCGCCATATTGACAAACTAAAAATAAAAAGAGACTTCTCTGAATGGAGCTACTTAAAGTTGCATTGTTCCCTTTAAATCCCCACAGGACATGAGAATTACAGCTTACCGGTATGTCTTGTAGAAGGAACCAGTTCAAGACAGATTTTACACATCAGTTTAAGAACCGCTTGAGTCGTCCCTCAGAAGTTGAAAACAAAGCGTCGAAACAAATTTCAGTCTAAGAAACTGAAAGAAACAAGAGCGTTGCACTTGATCACCCCGTCAGTCTGCTCCCATCAGAACAAAACCCACACATGCTTTATTTAATCCTATTTCCATTGGATGAACCTGTGCAGCCCACAGACCAGCTGGGAACACCTGCCATCAACAACAATGCAACATTAAACAAATCCTGATCATCACAGAGGAGAGCTTTTGGTTTTCTCCACATGGCGATCTGAAGGGTATCGGGTTCAAGTCTCCAATCCAGGTCAGCAGCTACTGGAGGCTATTTTTGGCTCAGAGAAAGCACGTATCAGATCAGACGACTACCCTTGCGTTCATAAAGGACGGACCCCATCCTTCTGACAAAAGCAGCTCTTCAGCAGCACAGATAACAGCCTCCCCAATCACTATCTGCCTTTTTAGTTCATTTTCATTCAAGCTGCAGCAGTAGGATAGAAAAACACCTGCATATGAAAGGGAACCCACGATGAATCCTGCTTTATTCCGCTCTAGAATTGCGTAACACAGAAATGAGCCTTTTTATTGGGAATTTTCATGTGACCATCTGCTCTGTCCCAATAAGAACAACCTACCCTCTTATGTGTGGGACCTCTCAGCGATAATAGGGCACGCTCCTCTCTGCCTCCTCAGATGGGGAGTGGAGAGAGTGAATTTTTTATGAGGGAGCTCTGTGGCTCATTGACAAATCCAACTTTTTCATTCAGATTTGGAGCTGATGCAAAGAAGCTGCGATGCCAGAGCTGAATGCAGGAGCGGTGCAGGCATAAATGAGAAACGTGCTGTTTTAGGCCTAAACATTCTAATAACAGACTTATTTGTCCACTGGAGAAGACAAGTTCTAAGGACAAGAGTGAGGCACGTTTAAACCGACACTTATCTGATTCTTTTAGTGTGTGTCTGGATAATGTCTCCTATCTGCTATGCTCAGGACTGACAAGGTAAAGTATGCAGTCATTTCTAGCTGCAAAGTGAAAACTGAAGAGAAATGTTTGGTTTCACCATTAAGCAGACTTAAATTTTTAGTGCAGTTGTATTTTTACATCATATTTCAATTATATCAATAACTGATCAATTAAAGGTGTGGTCGACTGAAAAAACATGTTTTAATTATTATTTCTGATAATAATCAGTTACTCTGAATGTTTCATGCAGGCTGAACATGAAAAATGTCTCCTACATCGATCTCCTGCTTTAGCTTCTGATAAAAAAAAAGGACAGTGAAACTCTAGGATTTGAAATTCCTCATATCTATGTCACACTGTGAATTTGCATTCATGGCCACGCCCATCTTGGCTCACGCTCTCCCACAAGAAGGCTTTTTTTTAATTGTTTGCAGCAAGGAGAGAGAGCGGAGTGTATAATGGTGATATTGACTTTGCAACATGGCTGACCACATTCTGTTAGCCAATCAGAAGTGAGATGTGTGCATATCATTAATAAAAATGAGCAATCCTGCTTTTTTCAGCCCACCTCTGTACCAGCAAACTTCTCAGAAGAGGAGCATCATAACTATATATATATATATATATATATATATATATATATATATAAGGCATTGATGTACTCTAGAGAACACCGCAAAATGTATTCAATGAATGAGTAAACCACATCTTTAACAATTCAACAAAAGTTTAATTAAAGGTCTAAAAGACCTTTTGAGACCCTTAAATCAATTTTGTTACTCTGTCATATCATAAGCGTTATTATCCCCAATTTTGCATTTTTTTATTCTTGCTGTGTGAATTTAATGGCTATATTTTATTTCTGCAAAAATGCATGAGTAATACTCAAAGTTTCTATGTTTTTTTTTATTCTACCTGCTGCCTCTAATATGCGTTGTATGGGAAAACATCTCATGAACCACCATATAAATGTTGACTGAACACCCAAACGGTAATCCCTGAATGTTAATTTGC